AACATTAACAACTTGATTTTCACCAATGGGGGTTTTTAACATTAACGGATTAACAATTCAGGAGGTGTTTTGTCAGTTGAAGTTGACCTTTGACCCTCTCTTTTTTCATTTAGGCTGTACGCACCTCCTGACTCGGACCGCCTCACGCCTTCCCCAACCGAAAGCCAGCAGCTCCTTCCAGGCGGTTGTTACCCTCACCAGCCGTACCTGTCTGACCAGTACATGAGTCCCCTATCTCAGAATCGTTTCTACAGCCGAGAGCCTGTCGGCATGACCCAGCAGTGCCCCAAAGACCCCGCCGCCAGCCCTCACAGCCGCTGGTACCTGTCCAGCCAGCAGGGGGTGCCGGCGAACCGTTTCGACTTCAACGCGTACGAGAGCGAATACCCTTCCAGCAACCTCTACAAACCCTTTCCGCTTCAGACGTCACCTCACCAACCGCTGGGCTACTACACTGAAAGCCACTTTGCCTCCGGGCCAGTGTCCGCCGCCAACCCGGGGCCATGGAGCTCAGGACGACCCTCAACGCAGTACCTAAATCACCCACACCACAGTAAACCCGGGTCTAGCATCGGCTGGTTCCGAACCATCCCATCCCCAGCCGCGTCGTCATCTCCCTCAGCAGCGAACTCGCGCTTCCACCCCTCCCCGTCGCTCCTCGAGCCCCAGCGCCAGCCACTTCTCCAAGAGAAGTCCAAAGAGTCCGGGGAGGACACCTGGATGGAAGCCCCCTCGGTTAAATCAGTGGACTCTGCCGACTCAGGTCTGTTCGAGGGAGGAGAGAACAAGAAGAGGCGAGTGTCGCCTTATACGTCCAGCACGGAAAATTCCCCTCCTAACCGCAGCGCAGAGGCTTGCGAAAAGGACAATTGCAGTGATGCGGGCTACTATGGCTTCTACACCCACTGAAGAGCAACAGTCAGACTGGGCTCCTTGTACTGTCTCCCACCCACCGTCTGTCTGCATGACCCGAGATACAGGGATCAAGCTCTCTGTGATAGTAGCTACAGTGCCAGGTGTTTGCTGGCCCCTCTGTGCTTTGTGTTCCCTGTGTTAGATGTTTGGGGGTCATGTGGAGGTGTTCTGAAGGTCACGGTCGCGCAAGAGATGAAGACGATGTGACTGCGCTGAGACAATGGCCTGGAGACACACAGACGGACAGACCTGAAGATTTCACCGCACACCTGCTGACACTCCCCCAAAGGAAATGTGTCTGTCCCACTCATCAGACACGAAAAACACCTCACAAAAACCCACGCGCCACAAGCACACTCGAACAAACAATCAAATCGTTCTTGTCACATTCTTTAGAGATGGTTCTCGCAAAAATGAAAAGTCTGTCATTATTTACTCGCCCTCATGTCGTTCCAAACGCGCATGACTTTCTTATTTTCTGTGTAACACAAAGAAGACATTTTTAAGAAATTACAATAAAGCACTTCTAAACTTCAAAGACACAAAAGGCACCGTAAAAGTAGTTCATACATGTCAAGATTTGGATGAGAAACAGACATGAAATTTAAATCTGGTATCTGGTGTTTACAATTCAGACACGGCTTGTTCTTTCATGAACGCACCAAGTGAAAGTCAGAGCGGATGAATAATGATTTAATGAGTCTGTTTCTCATCCAAAGCTATCGTGTGGCTGGAACAAACCTGGAATTTTGTTCACAAGCCTTTTAATTGGTCTCTAAATGACATGAATTTGACTCACTCAAGATGTGATGCTTTGGACTTGTGCTGATGATCTACAAATTGGCTTCAGCTATGGTTGCTGTAACATAGCTGTTTTTCAGATTGTTAAAAAAAATTGTTACTGTACAATTTTACAATGTTGTCTCATTGTAAACAACATTAGACATTTTCATATTAAACATATTTATATTTAAACAGGCTATTGTTGCATGCACTTGTGTGCTGCATAAAAATTTAGCACAATACATTGTGCATTTGAATTTGAGCCTTCATTATAGTACAACATTTGGGTGTCTGGTCAATCCCAAAATGCAACCCTACAGGGAGCACAATCAATAAGCACATTAAAGTCTGGGCCACTCAGACAACATATGCTGGAAGAGCAGACCATGTGCACCAGCTGGGATTTCATCTTTTAATAGACAGACATAGCATGGTTGATAGAATGCATGCATTTCATCAGATTCTTTAAAAATATTAAGCAGCAATTGTTGACAACTTTAAAAGTGAGGAAACCCGTTGCCTTAAAATTAAGTAATAAAGATTCATGTGTAATTGAAAAAAATGAGTTATGTGAACCTGACAATAACAAAAGTTAATGTTTTGTAAGGCAGCGGGTTTCCTCAGTTTTTTTCAACTGATCACTTTTTAGTTTTTTTTAAGTCAACTGATCACTTTTTACAATTTTTATATATAAATCAAAAACTGCACTGCTTCAGGTAGAAAAAAACAAAAACATGCAAAGAAAGTGGAAGGGGAAAAATAGTGTGAGGATTTAAAATGCAAAACTGAACCTGTATATGTAGATATCAGTGTTAGAAAAGTAAATCTAAAGATTATTCTAAAATCTCTCTAAAGTGTCATTGTGCTGAAAAACAATTTCACTTCTACCACGTACTGTAGAAGTAAAACTGGCATCTTGTGTGAAGGCGATTGTTTTAGACAGGGCCTTGTAATCCTCAGGTTTCATTTAAAGTCAACGGGTTAGGATAAGCGTACCAGTGCCAATCTGATGACCTGTAACAGGACATACTTAAACCAACAGCATCATGTCGAGGCGTCACCTATGACTGCATGCGGACAGACAGGGTGGAAAAATGGACACCTGGCAGGGCCTTCAGACAGACTATACATCATCTTTATTCAAACATACTAACATGCAGACAGCCCACACACAGACATCAGTGACACAGGAAGAGCGAGCCTTCAGTCGAAGCCTATCAGGCACCGCTGGCATTCAAAGGTGAGAATGACCTCAGACAGATAAGTGGGTGACAAGATGCCACTAAAGAAGACAGTGCAGGGACTCCTGGGACACAACGGAAGCCTGTGAGCTCCAGGAAACATCAGAACTGTCAATTCATAGAAACTGTCTGAGTCTTTCAGATCACACATGCAAATATGAACACAGACAGATGTGTATGGTCTGTGTCCTATTATGAAACCACATATATCTACATAACTTGTAAAAATAGAACAATTAAAAAATTATGATTCTTTGTTCAAATTCATTTTCTTCGAGGTGTTCAAGTTTCCTAGAAATTGTAACATGCTGCAAAAACCAACATGGTCTCATTATTTTTTTTAAGTCAGCCATCTGACTCTAACTGCCTCTATATATTTTTCATATATGTATTTTGATGCAAAACCAAGTGAAATAAGAGTAATATGGTTTAGACTGCATTATATTATTTGCTGAATTAAAAAGCCATTGCCAGATATAATGCTTGGTTGTTTAACGTATACCTTGCAATTTAGATGCTGGGGAATTTGCAATAGGCTATTCTACAAATGTAATAATTTGAAGGAATTCATTTGCTTATGAGTTTATTAAGGTTAGTTATTACGAATTGTAAAATAAACAAAATGGCTCATTATTAAAAGGGATAGTTTACTTTGAAATTAATTTTTGATGTTTTAGCTTACCTCAAGGGCATCCAAGATGTAGGTGTCTTTGTTTCCACAGGATTTTCAATTTTGACATTTTTTGGTCAAACTGCTGTTGTCTGTTAGTCCTATAGTGCAGTTTTAGGGGGTCCACCTCAAAGAGCATGCACAGAGAAGTAAAAATTAAACATGATTTAATGACTTGTGAATGTAAGTACACACTGATGGCCTAAGACACAAAAGCGGTTTGTGTGAGAAAACGAACAGTATTTATATAGTTTTTACCTCTTGTTAACAGCCGTCGAACCGATCTGAATCAGATGTCCAACTGACTGAACCAGAACCCTCTCCAGACGTTACGCCGGAAGTGATCTCTCGCGCGTCTATATGTCACGCATTGTTTACACGGAGATTTCGGAAGTTTTATCTTTCACTAACGTTACATACATTTAGATATATCGAAATCGTCTTCCATTGCGATTTCCCGTATATCTAAATATGTTTAGTGAAAGGTAAAACTTCCGAAATATCCGTGTAAACAATGCGTGGCGTGACATAGACGTGCGAAAGATCACTTCCGGCGTAACATCTGGATACGGTTCAGTTGGACATCTAATTCAGATCGGTTCGACGGCTGTTAACAAGAGGTAAAAAGTATATAAATATCTAATTGAATTTTTTTTTTTTATTACGCGTCTTAGGCCATCAGTGTGTACTTGCATTCACGAGTCATTAATTTGGACTGTTTAATTTGGACTTCTCTGTGCATGCTCTTTGATGTGGACCTCCTAAAACTGCATTATTATATGACTCACAGACAACACCGGTTTGACCGAAAAATGTCAAAATTGAAAATACTGTGGATACAAAGACATTTACATCTCAGATGCCCTTGCTAAAACATATCAACAATTAATTTCAATCCCTTTAACTGACAATAACTGATACAGAACAAATTTGTACTTTAAAGTGCAATTAAAGTGTTTCTATGTTAATTTAAAAGATGTGTAATTAATGCTCTTGTTTGGGTTTTTTTTATACACTGAAATGCACTGAAACGTTTGTTACTGTTGATGTGAACTGAAAATACTGAACAAATTGCCTGTTGCTGTCATATTAGCAATCACTCCATTGTTTTTGGCTGACCCCTGGTGGACATTATGCTCCACGAATCTTTGAGAGTGTCAACGGCAGGTCTTTTAAGGAACCATTTTAGGCTACGTTCCCTCTGGCATCGTCATTGTCTGTTGAATTAAAAGCAACAATTTATAATAATATTACTAATAATAAAAGTGGTTATCTGTAGTAAGTTTCCTCAGCAAAGCACACTGAGCCTCCGACACAGCTGTTAAAATACTGTATAATAAACTATGTTTTTGGTTCATTCTAAATGTAATAAAAGACTCAACTATACTAAATTCATTTTCTTCGATTCTTTAATATTGTACATTTTATTGCGGTTTTAAATTGCTATGAAAGTCAATACTTGAAAGTGTACAAATATGCAATTAATACACTGATTTTCTTCATCCAGGCCTACACAAAATTGTCGTTTCTGATGTCACATTTCAAACTGTGAGTTTAATTCATACTTAAATGCCAATAAATATAATATCATTGACTAAAATTGTAATCTTACATTTTGTTACAAAAAAGGAGAGAAAAAAAAAAGAAAAGATGTGCAATCAATCTAAGAGTGCCGAGGACAGATTTCAGGAATCGCCTTCAGTACAAGTCAACGAGAGCCTAAATTAGAGTTAATCCAGTTACCGGCAAATCCTGCTCAGGTTGAGCCGTGGCTTTGTAAGAGAAATAGTGTTCCTTTTATGAACTGGTGAGCCCTGAATATTACATATGATCAAATAATCCATTTACTTTATCCAGACTCTTGCTGTATCCACTGGCACATAAGTACTTGAACTGAAAGGTAATTTTACATTGCCCATAGAAATGTGCGCAATTGTTAAAAACTAAACATAACTCCAGAACTCGCACACATTCTCAATTCCTTTTTGGCTTATATTTTATCCAAACTGTCCACCAAGTTTGTGTCCTCAACCATCAAATAAATAAAAGTGTTCAAAATGCATCCCTCCTGTTGCCGTTTGCTAAAAGCATCATCCTTGCTCAATGGATTCGGTTCAGTACGAAAACCCTCAGCAATTCATCTTTGCTCCAAAAATGTTCTATAGTCTCTTAAAAACTGTGCAAACTGGATTTATCAGGGATTTATTGTCCACGGTGTGTGGCTGCACTCTGTGTTCTTCACCATAAATCCAGGTTCTTAACATTAGAAAATCCAGGATTCTCCCTGATCTTCCAATATGTTCCATTGTACAGCCAAACTTCCCTTCCCGCACCATCCAAAGATTTCCTGCAAGATGGGGGGGACATTGAAACATTCCAGCTCTAATTCCTATGAATAAATCAGTTTGGGAGTTGATGTTAACTAACCTGAAGAAGCGAGGGATGTGCTCCTCTCCTTTCTTGGCCAGAATTTTCCTCCTTTCTCTTTGCTTTTCCTCTACCTCATCCTTCTTTTTATCAGTCTCCTGTATTTTCCCCTCCTCAAGAAGCCTAACAACACAGAGCACACTTAAAACAGATGCCCTAAAAACTATTTCACAGAGTTTCTATATTTTGTACATCAAAACAGGCGATCCAATTATTTCGGCTTCGTAAATCATTTCTTATCATCAGGCTCCAAAGACTCCTACATCCGAAATCGTATTCTCTCTTGAGTAGGTACTTATTTTAAATAAGAAATCACTTCACAACAGCTAAAAAAAAAAACCCAACAATGTGTGTCATCTGGATGGACTACATTCTTCATGTCATTATCATGTGACCTACGACAAATCCTGTTCCGTGGCCTCGTGAGATAGTAAAGTGTCCATCGTATGCACACTTCAGAATCTCTACTTCAGAAGTAGTAGATCACCCATGTACTTTTTGCCTACTATTTTAGGAGTACTGTAAATTCAGACCTACTTCTGTTCAGTCACATGCCAACTATCTTAGGGAAGTATGTGATTTCAGTTGCAGCTTGCATCTATTTATCATTGTCTATTTTATGGGTCTCACCTTTGGTCAGGGCGCAAGCGTGTATCTGTAGGGGGCAGCAGGGGCTTAAGGTCAGGAGTCAGCTCATTCATCTCCATTGCAAAGCTGGAAAAGCCATAGTAAAGCAGGTAGTTCTTGGGCTGTGGATCTGTAATGGAGCAGAGACCACATGACAACATCTACCAACACAAAGTACATCTCTGATTTACTCGTTCTGTCAGACAGAACAGCCAAGAAATCAGAAGTGACCCGTTTTATGTTCCTAGTGCACAATGTCAGCTTGAATTAATGCAGAATGTTGACCAATATCCAAATAGGTATTTAGCATTCTTATAGCAAAAGCATTCTTAGGTTTCATTTAGAAATTAATCTCAGTACAAAAGCAAATTGGTTTGCAAGCAGCAGCTCGTGTGTTAAATTAAATTAAAAAAAGGAGGAAATGCAGAAATACTCACTTGGCTTCCAGATGCACTGTGGATTGGGCAGGGTGTCACAGAAAATCCCCTCATGCCAAAATCCACCAAAACGATGGACGACATTACCAGCCTCATCAAGAACTTGACCCTGCACTTCGTTTTTGGAACCATCTGAACCCCAGTAACGTGACTGGGTGGGTAAAAAATAAACATTTTATGCATTTGTACAAAGACTTCACCTATATGTACTCAAAATGAATCATATTTAAACAATTAAACACTGAACACACCTTGACAAATGTGATCTTACAGGTGCAGACCGAACTGTTCAGGTTGCGAATGACGACTTCGCCATAGTGCTCAAGGTATCGCTGCTGACTGAGGACATTGTGGATGCACGTAACCACTTTGTTCCATTCATAGTGGTCCCCATATCTAATGTACAGTATATCAAAGACCAATCAGAATTCCTCTAAAACATTATAAATAAAAAAGCCATCGACATCAAAGTCCAGCAGATACTTGCTTTTTTAGAGTCACATTCACCATCCCTGTTGGCATGATCTCCAAAGATTTGCCCCAAAACTTGTTCTTCCATCTCTGGTCTGCTCTCAGCATGCAAAATTAAAAAAAGAAGAAGAATGAGATTCAAATTTAAACATACAGTACGTCATGACATCACACAGGCCATAAAACATACCCTGCCAGAAGTTGAAATTCTCTGATTCTGCGTGACATGCAGATATGGGTGGATGATGGGAAACCTAAATGCAAACACAAAACCACAGAGTAAACAACTGCTTGATAGCAAACATATCTGATGTTTGATCAGTAGTGACAATCACTTACCTGCTCACTAATGTAGCGGAAGCCTCTGTCCTCTCGGATACACTCAAATGTCTCTCCCAGGACTGGATTAAATGGTTTGTAACGGTTGCGAAACTGAGCCGTGGCATAGCCAGATATGGCAAAAGCAGCAATATAAACCTTTACAGAGACAAAACAGAAATTTGTACTATTTATAAAGAAATACACCACATTTGGGGTTGGTACTATTATTATTTTTTTTGTAAGACATTAATACTTTTAAGAACATATGTATTAAATTGGCCAAAAGTGACAAAACATTTACAAAAGCTTTTTCTTTTGAATCCTGAAGACAATAACAGTTTTCAACCGTGATAATCACAACAAATTGTTCTTGAGCACCAAATCAGCATATTAGATTGAATTCTGAAGAATTGTGTGAAACTAAAGACTGAGCAATGATGCTGACAATTCAACTTTGCCATCACAGGAATAAATTACATTAAACAATAGAAAGCATTTCATCTAAATTGCAATACTATTTCACAATATTTCTGTTTTTACAATATCTTTTTTTATGCAGCCTTCAAAAACACAAAAAGTAATAAGTAAAAGTAATTGTTCATTATATAATTTAGTAAATCATTCCCTTGTTTGAATTACAGTATGCAGTTTTGCTAAATCTGTGTAATTATTACCATCCTCTGGTAGGGGTCATCAGTATGATTGGCAGAGTCCAGTAGGTCTGAGTATTCCAGCTCCTCACAGAGTCTCTGCAGCAGGCACACAGGTTCATTCAGAGCTGCTGGCATGGAGACACGGGACAGATCCTTTCCTATGTTGTTGTAAAGGATAGTCATCAAACCGACATGGCTGTTGTCAGGGCAGACAGCAGGCAGACTAGTACGGCCTCCGGTGTTCTTGATGATGTTCGATTTTGGTGGCGCCCTTGAAAGGCTGGCGCGGTACTTGCGAGTAGCCATTGCTGATGAGATAATAAAAAGGCAAAAAGTTGTAGCACAAACAATGTCACAGATTATATCAATTGTACACAGACAGTACCATTTAAAATGTTTGTAGTTTTTTTTTTATTATTCAAATTAATTAAAAAAAATATTATTACAGTTTATTTAACTGTTTTCTATTTTAATAGTTTTTAAAATATAATGTATTCCCGTGATTGCAAAGCTAAATTCTCAGCAGTCATTAATCTTTTAATATGCTGACTTATGCTAAAGAAACATTTAATATTCAAAACCCAAACTTTTGAATGGTAGTGTATACGGACACCTAAACACCACACTCATACGTGCTTACAGAACATTTAAATTTGTTTTCACTAACCATGAGCCTCATCAGGCTCTGAATTACTGGATCCGTCACTCAGGCCGGACTCATCTGATATCTCAGAAGAGCTCGCACACATAAGCTCATCACATGCATCAAAATACTCCGCCACTGAGTCAGCCACCGAGGGCACACGGACAAGCGAACTACGGCCTGAGCCAGACTGAGAGAAAGAGACAGAAATGTAGGTGGTTAGAAACTGCTAATAAAAATATGAGAGGACAAAAGAGTCTGTTCTGTTTGACATATTAAGTAGGTGAAACCCATCAACCTGTAAACAGAAGAAAGAAGTGGAGGTGGAGGGGGAGAGAGACAAAAATAGGGAACAGGACGAGTAGGTTTTGGGTGGAATGTGACACACCTTTCTTTGTAGCACAGTACGGAAGGACTCATCTGAGGAGTTGGAGGACACCGAGAGTTTGTGGATTTTGGTATGACGGGAGTTAACATCTAACTAAAGACACACATACACACATCTATGCAGTAAAACATAACACAATAAACTTAAAAAAATAAACCAGTGGTTCTCAACCGTTTTGACTCCTGATCCCACCATTGTACAAGATTCAAAAAGGATTTTAAAACCCTGTTTTAGATATATTCAATATAAATTTTTTCATATATATTAAAGCAAATCAGCACTGAAATATCTTGCTTTTTAGTCATTTTAAAGCTTGTTTTGTCTTCTTTTAAATGATTAGGGTCATCTTGGGGTCTCCTTAGAAGTTTGCAGAGGCCGCCAGTTGAGAATCACTGCATTAAAGCATGTATTAGCATTAAAAGGGGTGTTAATAGGGGGAGCCCAATCATGTTCCAGGGGGGCCACTCTCCTGCCCAGTTTAGCTCCAACTTGACAACTGCCTGCAAGTTTCTAGTATGCCTAGTAAGACCTTGATTAGCTGGTTCTGGTGTGTTTAATTGGGTTGGAGCTGAACTCTTCAGGACTGTGGCCTTCCAGGAGCAGCATTAGACACATCTGGTATATAGCAGCGTATAGCACATTTATTAACAAGATGAAAGCTGAAGTAAATCTATCTTTGCATGCTTTTAAGAGAAAGCACTGCACCATGGGTCTTTCACAAAGTAACATAAGTCATTGTTACCTCAGCCAGGCTGCAGAGGTTATTGATCTGAGCAGAGGTCTGGTGAAGCTCCCTGCTAGACCAGGCGTCGTGCAGGCGTTGGCGCTCCTGAATAAGAGCCTCATGTGTAGTACGCAGAGAGGCATGGACTGAGAGGAAAAAGACATTCAGAAATTCAGACTAATGCAGCAAATAGGCATAAACTAGGTGTAAATAAAGAAATAAAAATCATTAAAAATCATTAATGCGCTACTCTCATACCTTTCTGGGCCATGGAGCAGATGTCTTGATGTAGTTTCTTGTCTTCTGATGAGATGGAGGCTGGTGGGGTCCCCTGGGTGAGGACATAATCAGGGATTGATGGGACGGAGGTTCCCAGGTGGGAAGAACTGGTCAGGTGGCTTGATGATAACTGCATTAAATGAGATGTTGATATTTAGGTTATACATCGAAGGCTGTAATCCACCAAAACATTCAGAAGCTATAGGACATTTGCAAAGACCAAACCATAATATACATTACCATTCAAAAGTTTAGGATCAGTTTGAATAAATTAATACTTTTATGCAGCAAGAATGCATTCAATTGATCAAAAGTGACATTTAAAGTATGATGTTACAAAAGATTTCTACTTCAAATAAATGGTTTGCAGAAAAATACAAGTAGCACAACTGTTTTCAACATTGATAATAATAATAAATGTTTCTTGAGAAGCAAATCAGCATATTAGAATGATTTCCTGAGGATCACTTGACACTGAAGACTGGCGTAATGATGCTGAAAATTAAGCTTTGCCATTAAAGGAATAAATTTAAAAATATTCTCAAAAAGAAAACGGTTATTTAAAATAGTAATACTATTTCAAAATATTTGGGGGGTTTAACAAATAAATGCATCCTTGGGGAATATTAGAGATTTACCAACCCCAAATATTTTGAACAGTAGAGTACATTATACAAAATGTAAAAGGACCACATGGTTTAAAACTTTTTATAGCCGGTACAATGTGACGAAAGCTACAAAGAATTTACAAGAAATGTCTTGTGGCGACTTACCGATTTAGTAATCCCACGAAATGGCTTCATGTAAAAAAGGAGTTGACTAAATTACTTGGGGTTTTAAAGCTCTAATGCTTACTACACATCACAGCACAAATGCCAGGCTATTGTTTTCATAAATAAAATGCACAGATCTTTGGGATCACACTGCACAAGAATATGGAATAAATTCCATAATAGTTTCCAAACCTTTGTGGAAAACATGGAATAATCCCAATGGCAGGGCAATCCCTGTGGGCAAAGATTATAATTGCTCCCAAGACTTTTGGAAATATCCTAATATCAAAGAAAATGTGAACTGAGAAGCCTCACCATTCCAAGCGCCTCAACTCGAGACAGTGTGCGAGAGTGACCCCAAATCTTGCTAGACTTCTTCTTAGGCTTTTCAAGAAGAAGATTCTGTGGGTCAAACACATGTTGGAACGTTTACTCAAGTCATTCTGGTAAAGGCCTGCCTCCAGCCGATTCATTTTACTAACCTGCATGCTGATAATCCTCTGGAGGTCTCCGTTATTGACCAATTGGTTTGACTCTAGAGATTGCAACTTTTGGACCAGCCGTTGCAGCTCATTCAGCTCCATTTGACAACGTGTAAGCTCTGGAAAACAGCACAAATGCTACTCGTCTGAGCTTATGAATTCCTTTATTACCATTTCACTAGTATTTAAAAATACAACAGTACCTTGTGCACAGAAGTCAGGTTCTTGTGACTGTAGCCAAGCTGACACTTTCCCATTAATGGCAGGATTGACACACGGCAGACTTTCACCCACATTAGACACAGACGTGCCCTGGCATTGTGAGATTAATTTGTTACTTTCATCAGACATATAATCAATTAACTCACCGAAGCATCTATTAGTGTGCATTTACGGGTAAAACCACCATCTGGGACATGATGTCTAATCGCTAATTCTACTTGTTCCTAAATTGTGAGGACACATTCTCCTAATCCCTGGTGATTTAGAGGCAGACCAAAGTAAAGTCAATGTAGGAAACATTTCACTCACCATGTCCTGCATGGCACTGTTTTTGTGAGATAAATGACTGCCATGGGACAGGGCCTGGAGGAAGCCATTGTGAATGTGCGCAGCTTCATTCTTCTTATACATCCTGTGGGCACTCAGCTTGGTGACCCATATGTAATATAATTCTTGAGTCTTGGCCTAGTTAGAAAGGTAAATCATCTTCAGTTTACATTTTTGGCAGTGATTTTATTTGATGAAATACTTAGCATAATACGTTTGTCGAAATATGTCCCTATAACTAATTATGGAATTCCAGCTGAACCTCTTTGACCTAAAATTGTTACATGTTCCCCCTGATATATAATATATGTATATATATTATGTGGATATTTCAATCATTTAACAACACATTTGCATGTTCATGGTTCTCTGATGTCAGTTAATGGTCACATAACATGCAAATAAACAAAATATTAAGTACATTTTTAATACGCATTTTATTTGTATTGTTTTAGTTTTTAATTGTATATTTTAATTGTTTAATTATTAGCTTTTCATCAACCCCCTGCAGGTCCCTCACAAACCCCAAGCTGTTCATGAACCCCAATTTGGGAACAACGGAACAACTATTTGAGTAGATGACGGGTAGATGAACTTACGATAATATTAGCTTTAATTTCAAGCAATTAATGCCAGCAATACAGTGACTTACCTTCATGTGATACAGATTGTCTCCAGCATCCAGGTCTATACGTCTCGCTTTTTTGTTTACCGACATAACTGCGAGACTGACATCCAGTGAACCGTGCATTTTCCCTTTGGAGAACTGTTGAAAAAGTAAATCCCTGAATGTTTAAAGAGTCTGCATCCAATCTGTGGTTGTATGTAAGGGAAAAATAATTAGCATACTTACATCATGTGGGTTTTTTGTATATCGCAGGATCCCTTTATCCAAGACAAAGTATCTCTGTAAGAAAGTATAACTTTAAAGTCATTCAAACATTCTTACAACAACTACCTAAGGGAAAAAAAAAAATGTGTAACATTTTTCTCATACCTTATGCCAGCCTTTAAGAGGCCACTTTCTCCTCTTCATCAAGTAGCCTTCACAGATTCCTGGAGTGTTCGCATCCTGCATGTTTTCTCCAGTGAAGTTTACATCTACTGGAAAGTCATCCATTACTTCCCAGTCTTTAATGTTCTATTAGAAACAGAGTGGAAAAGGCAATCACAGTTATGTACATCAGGGCGTTTACCCATTTAAAATGTGCTACGTTTAATCCCTATGAACAAAATGTAACCACTGAGCTTGAACTATTGACATAAACTTGTCGGTTTGGTTAGACACTTGTTAGGAGTTGAGTAACTGGTTTCAGACACCTGAGGGAAAATCAATCGCAGACACCACTTGTAAGGAAAATATTTAGGCGTGTTCAAAAATCAGTTGAAGCAACCTGAGTTTGGGTGTTTATGTCAAGTAGATGGTACAAACCAGCCGTGAGTGTCGTGAGGATGCTGTGCTGCTGCTCCTGGAGTGAGTGGGCTTTTGCCAGCTACTAGACAACTTTTCCCCACCACTCGCCTGTGAATGGCCGTGGTCCACTGAAGACACGTGGGAGTCCATTTTAAAAATGTCTTCTTGTGCACTTAGTCGAGCTTGGGGTGAATATACGCTCCGCTAGAGGCTCCTTCTCATTGTACACTAGAGCACAATATGTCTACAAAGGAAAGATTTTTCATTATTAGTATGTCTTTTTCATTTATTGCTTAGTCAGACAGGCATGTGGTAAGACTTAAGGGAAAGTTAATCATATACTGTGTGTATTTTGTAAAAGAGTTGTGTATTGACTTCCTTCAATTTTATACTATTCAAATTATTTTTTGATTATTTTGATTTTAGCACAGTGTAAATGTAAAAGCCAATTATTTCATTTGGCAAATAACAGGTTGTCTTTGTCAACATAATACATAATTGCCATTACATTTTAGGTCTGGTTTTGTGAAGTGAAACCCGATAAATTGCAAGGGTAGAAACATGGCAAAGATAACCAGCACTGTGACAGTAAATAAAAACAGAAGCAATATAGTGTACAGAGAAAACTCATCTAATTATGTTATCTAACATAGGGACGTAGGGATCTGCCTTAGCCAACGATTCTTGGGAAATTAACTTCTGCCCTTCGCTAAATCACACTAATTCATTTTACTTATAAATACTTTTCAAATGGCTTAGCGCACAAGGGAGCGTTGAGTAATGCAAAGCAAGAAAACAATACACTCATTAGTATGATGTAAGGAAACACCATTGTGGTGTATGCTTAATTACATACACTTATATATTATGTAAAAAAATCTTTTTCTGGATCGAAAGCTGAATGAAATGTGGGTGTAACAGAAACCAAACCTGTTTACTAGAATCTTACATTGTCTTGACAACTATGACAAGCTCATACCTGCCCATTAAACTAGAATGAGGGCAAATGAGGTGTTTTGTAAACAGCTAAATTAGCAGTTGAGTAAAACTATTTGATTACAAAATTGTCAATATTCATACATAAAGGTAAACGTAATTTGAACTACATATTTTATAATGAGCTAACAATATTGTTTTTGATAAATCTAAAAGATTGTTTTAGATTCCCCCTTTTATGGAAGGCATAAGTGCAGTAACACATGCTCATGGATAGTAACCTCACACATGTAATGTTCCCTACGGGACAGGCTTAGCGTCATTACGATAATTGGCTTTGAATATCCCTTTTTAGCAGCCTTTAGCTTGAATAGCTTTTCACCGCGAGCAGGATGACAGGTCACAGGAAATATGATGTATAGCAGCAGGAAAACAGCATGACGTAGGCCTACACGGTATGAATAATCATAATAACATAATTTTGATTTTATTGTAATTTATAAGAACTGAGCATATTTTTAAAAGCTAATGTCTGTTAAACAAATACACAGATTTAGTCAAAGTAGCCATTCCAAGTTGTCTATATAGAATACGTAAAGCACCATCAAGTGTCTTCAGAAGCCAAATAGTTACCAATACACTGTAAACATTTTATGTGTAAATAAAATTTAACTTTAAGATTACTGGGCTGAGAAGAAAACTGTACAGTTTAGTCTTACACTGTTTACCAAACATAAAAAAAAACATAAGATGCTTCTGGCAAATTTTTCAAATAGCCTACATAGTACAGTAAATGTCAATCTAAGCCATTAAGTTCTAGGATATGATATAAAACTTATGTTTGAACAACAGAACATCCTTTTTAGCTATTGTTAAAAGCTGTTGTTTTAAGAGTTAAAGGGATAGTTTACGCAAAAATAAGAGGTCTGTCATCAAAAACTATAATCATTTATTTCCTTTGCTGTACATATTTTGAGCAACATTGGTATGCTGCAAACTGTTGAAAGGCCCCTATCCATAGTAGGCCAAGTTTGTTTTCTTACTATCGAGGTCAATATGGACAACTGTTTGATTACCCATATTCTTCAGAATATCTTCTTTTGTGTTCAGCAGGCAAAAAAAGAAATTCAAACAGGTCTGTAATACTTGAGGGTAAACTATGACATATTTAAACATTTTGGTGAACTATCTCTTCAATGCTCAAGTTAAGTTTACCATTGTACTGATGAAGGCTGTGATCTTCCATACATAATTTCCACACAATGAAACTCACTTCCATTTCAGAAATACTTTTCAAATGTGCTACCAATCACCAGCATGTAAATCCAAAGTTTCTTTATGTACTGTAACTCATGCTCTTACCTGAGGTTTCTGCTCTTGGCCAGCGTGTGGTATATTTCTGAGTAATTCTCTCTAAGCGTCTGAGTTTCATGCTTCCCCATTTGCTTAAACATACGTTACACTTTCTGACAGGACAACCGGTTCAACCACTTTTTACTAAAACACAAGAATTCAAAAATCCTGTGCATACCAGAGCGATATATCATGGTCAGTTCCCAAACTATCCTCCACTGGTGACTGAACATCCAGCAAATCCACCCAGGGCTCCAGGCCAAATCATTATCCGCATTAGTCGTAAAAGCTGTCGGCATTAGTTACAGGCATGTCGGAGGAACTTTACTGACAGCCAGCCATTCAGATGCATTTCAAGCTGAAACTCTGCCATTACTTGATGGGATAGTCAACAATTTACTAAATTTCAAGTGGGTAACTCCCCTTGTTGGTTCATGTATGATCATCATTTACATTTTATTTATAAAGCGGTTTTTACAAATTCACACGATTTTTATTGAAATAAGATCACATGTAAACCTGACCTAAAAAACACACAGCGGTGTCAGTGTCTAGAACTGAGACAAAAGTAACGAACCCGGGGTTGTATCAATAAAGGAATGCATGACCTACTTAACATGAAGTAATCCAGAGATTTAATCAGGATCCATGACCATAAACTAGTGTAATTTTGGCTCTGGCAGTACAAATCCATGTTTTTCCTGGGTTTTTCACTTCAATGCACTTTAATGTGTTTAAATTTGCAAATGCGCTTACTGGCGTAGCTTATTCAAATTAATTAAATAATCCATTAATGTAAATACGATTATTGAGGAGATTGGTGCTAGTTGTCACACTTTTTGTTCCACTCCAGTCCAGTGATAATTTATCAGGTTTCTTTTTAAAAGTCAAATTTGCTACAGTTACATACCTTAAACTATTGACAACAAAAATCTGTTGCATTTCCACCGTTGATGCTGAAGATGCGGCTCATTGAATGAGACCATAGACAGGCATGAAACGGAAGTTACGATTGTCTTTTCTTACCTATTGTGAGTGACGTATATCCGAGTGAAACGGCTTCTCGGACAAGAAACAAATATAGGGCGGGACAAGACTCGATTAAAGATTCGAGGCCACATTCATTTAAAAAAGAAAGATGTGCACAAACAATTTAGAATGAATTCTGAAATATTCTGTTAAAACAAAAATTGTCAATTTTGATTTCATGGTGACGTTTCACAATTTTTGTTGTGTGGACATTTTGTGAAATAATGCCAAGCTATAGCCTATGGGGTAAATTGTCACAATGGAACAACCTGCCATTAAATAGCCTATTATTGGCTTTTAAGCAACACCTTCTCAGTAAAACAATTATTGATAGTATACATAATGAATTTTGATATTTATAATTGCTTTAAAATGACAAAATGAGGTAATATTTTATTTAAAAAAAGTTTTCTTACTAGGTGTTTGAAACTTCTAGAGAAAACAAACATTTGTTTACCTACAACTATGGCAATAAAAATGACCAAAATGCAACTTTAAATAATATCCTTTTATTATATGCACTTTGTCAATCATACACAGTTGTTCATCCATGTCTATTTGTAAAATTTAAGCAGCAGCTTCCAGTATTGTAGAAGCATCTTTATTTGTAACAGCATTTGTGGCGTCCACGGTGCCCTGCTGTTTCACATACTGCTGAAGGAGGGCAGAAAGATGAGCTGGATGGTGGCGTAGCATCGAGACAGTCTGTGAGGTCATCATGGTTAGTCCACCAACTATCTCACCCTGGATAGTGGTCATAGATGGGAGTTTGGAGTATTTGAGAATACCTTGATAAGAGAGCAATGTGTTCTCTATACAAGCACCTGAAAGATAATGTTTCAGAAAGCCTTAGAGACAATACCAACTTTTTTGAAGCCTTTTATGAATGCAAGTTCATGTATATCATGGCACATTGACTCACCTATCAGGACCATCTGAGGACTGTGCCTCAGCGCCTGCAGCATCTCCTTAACTTTTGGCTCTTTACTAACAAATATGACAGTCTGGCCAACAAATAGAGGCAACATGTTACTGTAAATGCTGTTGTTGAGGAAAGACCTCGTCACCTGCAAAGAAACACAAATAAAATGTCACACAACAGTAGCTCACAACAGTGGTAATCATCACTAAAGCTTGGCATTACCTGGTTTGGAAAGAACTTGATACTGATATTGTGTTTTTTCAGTTTGTGTTTCAACTGCAATAGGTCCTCTGCATTGATTGCATTGTTTTGGACCACAGCAATCATCTTACACTCCTTAAACAAGGTTTCTAGGTTTTTCCGCAACATAACTGCCAGAGGACTTTCCTAAAAGAGAAGTGAGTTGATATATACATTAATGGAACACTTATACAATTGACTATATATTTCATAAAATATTGTATAATACATATTATATGTTGCTATTATAGTACTTTCACCATGGAAGCTTGTTTCCACCACAGAATACTCCCTTTTTTTTCCTCTCAATTACCATTTATTAGTATTCTGAGCAGAAAACAATCTTTCAGAATGGGACTTGGGACACTAAAAATGACACTCTTAAAATAATTATATTTATAATATAATGATAATATAATATTAAAGAGATAGTGTGGTAGTTGCCTGGACTGTCAAAAGAGGAACAGAGATCATTCAGAAATATCTTCATTTGCTTTTTGAAAATGAAAAGGTCTTACGGGTTTGGAATGACATTAGGCTGAGTTAATGATTACATAATTTTTGGATGAACTAATCCTTTATATAATAGTATATAATTATATATTATATAATAGTATATAAGTATATAATATTATATAAGTAAAAGTAATTAATTTCATCTAATTTTGACCGAATGATAATGCAACTAAATTCTTCCAACATAGATCATGTTCAGTAACTACTGCAATAATCAACCTCTTCAGTCTTTCGGACTCGTGGAGCCAGAGCAGCAGGAGGAGCTGCAGGTGTGGGAGGAATGTACTCAGTGACAGCCAACAGCTTCTGCTTGAGAAAATGTACTGGCTTTCTGTGACGAGTGACAGCTTTGGAGCCGTGACGAACACTTTGGGTTAATGGCAGCCATCCTGAAGGTTGACATAATATGAATATTGGTAAGAATAACATTAAGGCTACTATATAAACATTTATATTCATAATGTGATATAAATGTAAAAGATGCCACACATCATTCATGATTGTCATGATTAAAATATCACGTGATGTTCTCATGAAAATAAATACAGGGTTTTTGACGAAAATCCAAAGTGGCAGTATGCATTCATATCATTATGCTAAATTTAGAGTGATATACCAAATGACATTATGTAAACAGGAAAGAGTTGAACACACAAAAGCACCTAAAAATGTATTGCATTGTCCCTGATAGATGATGCTGCTGCTGCAGCTGTACAGTAACACAATAATAGCTCCATAGTGTATTTCCGCTGTAACTTTACAATGGGGTTCATAGTTTAAATTTAAATGGCCGATAACTGGTTGTTATGGATGGTATTTCTTTTGTAGGTCAAACTCAACAACACTGCAATATCAAAACAGAATCTTACCCGCTTTCGGGAGAAGTCTGCCACACAAGGTCGCTGCCATCTTTCTTGATCCGGATTTGACGTAGGACAAATTTGTTGTTTCGTGCCTACAAAATAAAAGTTGTTGTCATATGCGTAAAAAATAATCATTTTATTTGTCTATGGTTGTTCTGGTCATGTTTGAAAACACTTATAATTATACTTAAACGTAATAATACCCCAAAATCTATTTTGTATGTTTGCTTTTTTTTTTTATGTTGTTTTTTTGTTTGTTTTGTTTTTTAAGTTTACACAAATATACAAAGTAAAAGTTACTTTTTTAAATCGGCTATTTTGAAAATGTCAAATAATTATCGAATGTATAATTAAACGTATCAATATATTTATATTATTCATTTAAAAATATATATTTTTATACTTTTAAAACATGTTTTCATCATAGTTTTCATAACGTTTACGTAAGACCATTGAACGTGATGACGACGCAGGTTTAGAGCTGCAGGCATGAGACGTCTTTTGAGCTTCTGCGCGTCTAGGAACATCAGCAACATTGTAAAGCTTATTGAACCCACTGTTACCTTGGCAGTCCGCCATCCTCCGTTATTTACCTCGTTTTTCTGCAGGGAATTTACGGACAGCGGCACCAACATGGATCTGAGTAACATGAGAAAGAGCTATAAGAGCGATCAGGAGGTGGGTGACGGGTTGTTATGTCATGTGTATGTCCATAACCCATTTTGTTATGTCATGTCTATGTCTCAGACCCTATTCAAAAGAACTAACGTTAGCTATTGCACAGAGAAACAGTGATTTTTTCCTCTTCTTCTTCTTCTTTTTACACCAAAAGGCTGGGAAGAACAGACATTTTCTGTATTATTTCTATAAAAGCTTTAGAATGTGAAATATTGAGCAATTTATTCATGATCTGCTACTGACTTGCTTTGCAAATGAAAGCCTTGCTTGCTTTTCAAAATGATAATTGATTAATGCATTGACCTTGTGCATTATCAGTTGACATTGAAAGGTGGACTTCTATCAATCTTTTAAGATCAAAATCTTAAATAATTTTTTTAATTAAGATTATATACTGATAATTATGAGTGAGTAATTGTTGTCTTAATTTCATTCTACAGTGTTTTGAGGAGGATCAGCTTGCTTCTTTAAATCCAATCAAGCAATTCGGCAGCTGGTTTGATCAAGCCACTAAATGCCCTGAGGTGGGGGAAGCCAATGCAATGTGTCTTGCAACAGCCACCAAGTAAGAATAGCATTGCAGTTCATCAGTATATGCAAATAAAAAGTGTAGCTTGTATTTAATAATGCAATAATTCACTAATTCAGTTTGTCCCAAATGCATGTCTCTTGTCTCTTCTAAAGGGATGGTCGGCCCTCTGCACGCATGGTCCTTCTGAAAGGCTACAGCGAGGAGGGATTTCGCTTCTTTACCAACTATGAGAGTCGGAAAGGTTCAGAGCTGGTGAGTCTTTAAAACAATATTTTATTTAGTAAATATCCATATGGATTTACCTTTTGTGTATTTAAAATTGCCTCTTTATTTCCATCATGTAGGACAGCAATCCTCATGCCTGTCTTGTCTTTTACTGGGAACCATTAAACAGGCAGGTGAGTGTTTTTTCTTAGAACTCAGAATCTTCTCCAGAAAATTCTTCAGACATCAGATCTTTAGAATATTATCTTTTGTTTTAATAATTGTCAAGAACAACAAAAAATCACAGTCACACTGTAAATGTATTTGTACATTTCCATTGTATTTTTTATAATGTGAAGTTTTGTGCGCAAACAGATCCGCATTGAAGGCGCCGTAGAGAGAATCCCGTACGAGAGTTCACATGAATACTTTCACTCAAGACCCAAGAGCAGTCAGATCGGTGCTGTTGTTAGCAGGCAGAGCACCGTAATACCAAGCCGACAAGTGAGTATCACTTCCAAATATCTTACAAATTTATGAATGAGCCGATCTACTGACATTTGTCATTTACTTTAAACTTTACAATGCCCATAATGAAAACTTTCATTAACTCTACAATAAGTAAATACACTTAACTGGCTGATTACTCTTAGATGGCGATGCCATAGAAATATACAGAGCTACCGCAAAAACAGAAGTTCAAATATTCTAAAGAAGACTCAGCACTTGTTTCTCTGGTGCATACGGTATCCAATTTGATTGTTAACTAAATCTATTAAACACATTCATGTTAACTGAAATATAGCTGAAATCAAATGAAACATGAATATTTGATGAATATTAAAACTAACCAAAATTAAAATTTAGGCTCTAAAAGAAGCAATAAAATTACTAACTGGAAATAAATAAAAACTAAAACCATAACCCAACTTAAAAAAAAACAATTAGAATGGTATCTAAAATAATACAAAAATAACACAGGCACAATTTATTTTAGCAACTAAACGTTCAATGAACTGTTTTATTGACCTATTTTTTTGTGTGCCCCATAAAGTACCTGAGAGAAAAGAATGCAGAGCTTGAAGAAAAGTATAAGGACACGGATGTACCGATGCCAGATTACTGGTTTGTAATCTTTGTTTATTAATATCAAAATTCAAATTCTTGTTTTCATTTAAAAAAAAAACATAAAAAAAAAAAATATTTTATGATTATTATCATCATCATCATGGATACATTTTTTCTGCAGGGGTGGATACATTGTGAAACCCTCTCTGATTGAGTTCTGGCAGGGTCAGACTAATAGATTACATGACCGAATAGTATTTGTGCGGCCAAAAGAGGGAGAGACTGAGCTGGGAGATATGCAGCATCAAGCAGAGGGGGGCTGGATATACCAACGCTTGTCCCCTTGATACTGCACATGCTGTGAAATTAACATCAGTGTCTGTGACATCAATACATCATCATTACTGATCATTACTAATGCCGCCAGGGCATTAACTGACTTGTAAAGACTTACTACTCCATATTTGCCTACGTTCGTATTGTCTTAACCAAAACCAGAAAGGATGTGATTTTGTGAATATAAATCATGTTTTGCATTATAAATGGTGCTTTGTAGCAGCGTTTGTCTTTAAGCCTTCAAAACTGACGGTCCCACTTAATAAGTGTCTTTACTATGTAAATTGAATAATACTATTTAAATTGAATTGCACTTAAAGGGACAATGTGTACTTTTTAATGTATTTTATTATTTAAAATCAATATTTTTATTCATGTCCTCAATAGTGTACAAATAACTCTGCCATTTATCTGACTTATCCTTGTAAACAAAGAATTTATTATTTTTAAATACATGGGACCACGAAGGCTTTTTCTAAAAAAAAAAATATAATGAAGAAAGGCAGCATAACTACTTATTACATTAGTTCATGTTTTTCACAATCAGTAATTCCTATTGTAACATTTGTTTGTTCGTTGTGTCAAGTTGCTGTTTGTTTGAAATAACAAACCTGTTCACCCGAAGGAACACTCGACGAAGTGCTATCAGAAGACATCCTGTCATGGCTTTTTGGTACATAATGGCTACCGTAGATGCAATTGAAAAAGCAAGGCGCTGGAGAGCACAATTCGTTTGAATGCCAAACACATTTTCACCACTAGATGAGAGAAATTCCTACACATTGTCCCTTTAATGTGCCCATATTTGTTTTTACATTGTACTTGTATTTAAAATACCTTCATGTAACTACAGATGTAGTTAATTTCTGCGATTACGTGTATTATTACACTGTTGACCTTCCCTTATCGCCATACCATGAAACCTGTCCCTAAATCCCTAAACCCGTATGCTACCTCTATAGCAGAGTAGTACATGCAATAAACACACATTGTACCTAACAAATGTGTGAGAAAGCACATTGTATTTGAAGACACCTAATGTAAAGTGTGATCAAACTGACCTTAACATATTCTTAATCTAATACTTGCAAGTGCAAAGTCTGATCTAATGTTTATTAATAATTGAAAGGCACAGCTGTACTTGTAGTTTTAGAGAACACAAACTTTGGACTTCTTTCACAACAACAAAAACATCTCAACATGTTCCTCTGTTTGTGCAACATTCATGATATACAACAAATATTCTGCTAGACATATGTGCCAAACTTAATTTTACCCTAAAATAATTGTCCATTTGGATGTAATTCTGTAATGAATTGTGACTTTTTCCTGTAAATTAACACAAAATAATAAAATAGTAAGCCTGTTTAATTTTTGCAGTAATGTTCATTGACCTTTTTTGCCAGAAGATGGCAGTGGAATCAAATCAGCTTTTTTTCCCGTTTTTTGTTTTTTGAACACATCTCAGCAATGTCAATAAAAATCTTTATTTAGCATATTTTACCAATAACCTTTCACAGATCACAGTAAACAATAGACAAGTACAGATTAATTAAAGCTGTAGTGGTAGATGGAGAACTTATCTTTCACCTGCTGAGACTTTGGCTTTTTATGGTAAACTAAATAAAATCGGAGATAAAGTCCAATGCATGACTGATGTTCAACCTCAAAAAATATCATAAAAACATGTCATCAAGTGCTAATCAAAGGGCACGGCAGTCCATTAAAATGCAAGCTAAACAACAGCCTGTTTCCCACGTTTGTTGCTAATTTTACATAATAATGTACACTTGTATGACCAATTTAGAAATGAAAGGATTGTATGACTATGAGTTGTGATTTCTGTGCCTTGTAAGGTATTTTAATTGTCCCACAGTGAAAATATCGTATTTTATGAGCATTGAAATAGGCAACTATTTAATATTCATCTCCAGAGCTGCTTTAAATTAAAGCACTGGCTGTGAAAAATAATCATCATCTTCACTGCGTCAGTTACTCGGATCATGTCGAATGTGAATTTACAAATAAAAATGAGTCAAAATTACTGTATGTATGCAGGTAAACAGTCCCCAAATGACATGCTTTGTCTGGGTGTTATTTTTCCACGTGGCTCTTGTCTGTCCTAGCAGATTCAGGGCAAAGGCCTGGGTTTTCCATCAGACTTGAGCGAATCTTCTTCTTCTCCTTGAACCGCCCAGAATGGGAGACTTTGACGTGACGGCCCTTGGTCCCAGATTTATCCACTATTTTTTCCAGTCTGGCTTCCAAATTGTTGTCTGCAGCATTATTGCTCAGGTCTTTATTCGCATTGTTAGTGCTGAAGTCGGGCGGTATTTCATATAGGACCTTCGCCTCTGACTTCTTTTTTCTTAGGAAGGTGAGTTTCCACCATGCGGGGTCGGCCATGACAGGTGCGAAAGGGAGATGGTGAAAGCAATAGACCTATAACATGAATGCAGATTTGTTATGTAGAGTCAAAGGATATTGAGTAGCCTAATGTTTAGAATTATTCTTTCTAACTCTTAATTTAACACGTTTTTATTGGCCACTGTCACCTTTATATTTCTCACTGTGGGTTCGGCAATATTCTCTGCTAGTTTATTTGGAACTATTTACTATGCTATGTATGTAAGTTTATACATCTGACATTAACTAAAAAAATGTCATGTCAAATGTCAATGTTTTTGGTCTCAGCAAAATAGTATAATTATTTAATTGTGCAAAAGTAATTAATTTTGTTTTTACAAAGTATGCATTCTTCCTATTTCTTCTCGTACATTATAAATGAAGTCTTTGTAGTAGAAATATTCACTGTAAAACATTTTTTTCTTTTGTCAAATCAACTTAAATAATTTCAGATAACACAATATTTTGAGTTTCTGATGATTAAATCAATCTCCTTCATTGTATTAACTCAATTTTTACTTTTCAATGAACTTAAAATTTTAAGGCAACCAGGTTACTTCATTTTTTAAGTTAAACCAACAATATTTATTTACAGTGTTGCTACATTTTAGAAAGAGGGTTCCTTGGGAGGGAATGAGCATATAGAGGTGTTAACATTGAGTCTGCAAGCTGCTTAATTTTACAGTGCATAGCACAACACTCTCATTTATCATCTAAACTCACACAGTTTTTGCCCTAGGATGTGTTTTTATGGATAAAAAAACAGCATCAGAACATTTGCATAAAGGCTTATTTGCATACTTTAGCACATTGTAAGCAGCAAAATGTTCCTTGTGAGGTCAAATGTGTGTCTTCTCATCCAGTGATTAGATTAGAATAACACGAGGACACCTGACTCCGCTGCTCAGCTGTTTAATTAATGAAGAGCACCACTGGATCCCCTGTCACTCCCATGAGATCTGAGATACACCAAAATAACATTGCGAGAACCAAGACACATGAACAACAACTTGATGGACAACTTCGTGTTTCATCCCACCTTGATAGAGTATCATTTGATATGTAATATTGGACAATGCATAGCTATTGTACACATCACACAAAGTACGTACAATGATTTACTCATGTAATAGCAACCAGTGTAAACACAGGAGACTTGTCCAGCGTACTGTAACAATAATGCGAATGGTATGGGTGTGTGACATCTGGTCCATTTGCAACGTTGTCATAGTAGTCATCATTAAAATGTATTAAAGAATGTGTCATGGTTCGTCCAGCGAATGCTGCAGGTTTTATAGCATTGGTGTGAGATAAGATTTTAAGTATCAGTTCAGGCTCTAAACACACCCTTCACTCGGCAGTTGCCACCTCATATACTTCAAAGTTTCTGGTAATATTGCTCATAGAGGGTTCATACAAGAAAACAAGACGTCTCCACGTGAATACTTTTAGAATTTCATTAAAACGTGACAAAGCTCCTTTCTCACATCAGTTTGTTAAACATCAGATGTAGAAATAGACATATGTAGAAAGAGAGAGACCTTGCATTTATCTATATAATAAAAAGATGGTAATAGATATATAAATAAATAATCTATTAGGGATGCACATATGAAGATTTTGGCTGATACCGATAACCGACAATTATTTATATTTGAAAGCCGATATATTGGCCGACAAATCTAAATCCAAATTATTGTATAATTTTTCAGAGCCTGATTACAAAAATGAAAATCTCACCATTAAAATCCATGTCCCAAGCACACAATTATAATGATGTTCTCACTATAATTATGTAGCCTATATGGCAGACTTGCGCTGAACATGTTGCTCTTTTTTTTTAAGTGATTCCAATCATATTTGAAGCAATTCGATACAATCATGTTGACCATGGCATATGAAGTGTCTCAGCTGAAGTAAATAATCCATTATTTGCCGGCTTTAATATATCGGCCAAATATTCTTATTGGACAGATAACGATAACATTAAAAATGTCTATCAATTTATCTATTCATTTAATTATTGATTTAACGCCTTAATTATTTCTTGCAAGACTACAGTTTAGGAATAATTTGTACTTTGCATCTCTTTGGCATGTTTGTATTTGCCACCTTTACATGGGAGGTTGTAAGGCAATCTACAAAACAGCTTCTGAACAATATTAACAGTGTAAAATGCAATATAAAGAAACAATTTGACATTTAATAGAAGATCTGACAAGAACTGCGGGTAGAAAAAAATTATATTTCAAAATGCTTTTGGTCTTTATGCAGCAGAATCCTTTAATTCAACAAAATCACATTCTTACTATTTTTTTTTTTCACACAGTATTTCACCCCTTTTTTCACCCCTGCCATAAGGGTTCAGAAACAATGCCAACAGCAATAATTTAAAGGAGATGTTCACTTTTAAAAAAAACTTTTGCTGATAATTTACTCACCACCATGTCATCCAAGATATCCATGTCATTCTTTCTTCAGTCGAAAAGAAATTAAGGTTTTTGATGAAAACATTCCAGGATTTTTGGACTTCAATGGGAACCAAACGGTTCAAGGTCCAAAAGACAGTTTCAGTGCAAACTGCAAACAGTTCAAAGGGCTTTAAAAGATTCCAGACGATGAATAAGGGTCTTATCAAGCGAAACGATCAGTCATTTTAAAAAAAATAACACAGTTTAAGTTTTATAAGCTCAAAATGTCACCTTGCTCTGTTCTGTGATGCGCGACTCTCCTATTCAAATTCATCAAAATGAACAAATCTTTTCCCGAATCAACTCGTTCATTTTGTTCGTTGAATGAACCTTACCCTTATTCATCGTCTGAAATTGTTTAAAGCCCTTTGAACAGTTTGCAGTTTGCACTGAAACTGTCTTTTGGACCTTGAACCATTTGGTTCCCATTGAAGTCCATTATATGAAGAAAAGTCCTGGAATGTTTTCATCAAAAATTTCTTTTCGACTGAAGAAATAATGACATGGACATCTTGGATGACATGGGGGTGAGTAAATTATCACCAAAAGTTTTTTTTTTAAAGTGAACTACTCCTTCAACACACACACAAAAAAACATTTTCATGTCTGTCTGCCAATGACAAAATAAGGGGGCATTTGAAGAAATAGGAACGTTTGGGGTAATAGAGTCTCTGGATTTGTTACTGATCTTCTACAATTACATAATGACTCATGATTCAGTCACTTTTAGAAGTTGCTACTATACTCTTACCTTAATTGCACTTAGTTTGCTGTGGCCAAGTAGATTGTACAGTAGATGTATAGAGGAGATTGTGTTGCACTTTGAAACTGACTGTAAGGTTTAATCCAGGGAGAGTCATGTGCTTTCCTTAGCTGGGGTGAAGGATCATTTAATGGTTTTATTGTTCATGCTTATTGATCATGTCGAATTATGAGCTCTCAGAATTCATTTCAGAATTTTACTCAAAGACTGATTTGAAAAAAAAAAAAAAAATCAGACCTGATAAAAATCTTTAAAAAATGCTCTTTAGAAAATGACAAAAATTGTTTTAGTACATTTAGTTGTGTTTTTGCAGGTCATTTTTAAAAGTCACCTGACCGTCCGATACTCGGGAGGTATATCCTTAATATCCTCAGACCTAGATAATAAGTTACTTTGTTTTCTTTGTTGTGTGACTGAGCAGCACTAAAGAACCCCAGAGATCACAGAGAGGGTATAATGTGCCTGTCTAAATCTAGGAAATCACTAACCAAGTTCAAAGCCTTCCCGGTGATACAAATGTTTGAGAAGAGGAGAGGTTAACCCAAGGACAGCAGGCCCTGTCGTATTCAGAGCAGTCATGGAGGGTGTCAAGTTTGCCCGCAAGTCCAGGCCTGGACATCAACTCGCTGCTGTTTGTGTCCCAAATGTTACTTTCTCATCTGGCCCTACAACATGCCATTTATACAGCCTCTCAAGGGAGGCCTTCGTTGAATCGTTTGTTCTTAAGAGGCTCAAGGAGAATTCATGATCAAAATACGTACAAATTTTACTAATCTAGGTTTAAAACTACTACTCATTTTGATCATTCGTTTTATGCGTGTTATTTTAAATGTCACTGATTAACCGCACTGAAAAAGTATATATAAAAACAATATTTTATGCAAATGGCATTTAATTTAATATGAAAAATTCTCCTGCATGTTTTTACTAAATCTGGCAAATTAAGAACGCAAACTCTAATAGTCTTTCTTTAGTCTTAAAGAAATACAAGAACATATGCAGTTCACCAACGATTTTAAAACTCAAAAAGAGCTTCTGATCAGTCTCACCTGAAAAGTTGTGTTCACTCGTTTCAAACGTGCTCTTGGTGTGGATGAACAGGTGTCCAGAAGAAGTTAAACCATTGTGGCTTTGACAAGCTGCCCTCAGTGTTCACTCACTAACTTGCTGCTCAGGTTCAGCGTGAACCTTTTTACTTCCTCTTCTCTTAATTAATCTCCCTCCTTCTAAATGCTTGCTTTGAATGCAACATCTCATGCTACAGGTGTTCTCTTTCGCCTTCCTCTCACTTGGTCCCTCCCTTCCTCCCTCTCTCTTTATCAGTCTTGTTTTATCGCCCTCTCCAAGACAGCAGCGTATACAGCCTCACACAAATGCACTGTTTCAGTCCAAGTTGAACATTAAGTCCAACCCAATGCAACATGAGTAAATGTTACAGCCATGTGACCGAAAGAGGGAGGGCAGTCTGAGTGAACGACCTCATGGGAGCGTGAAGTTGGTTTAACATTTGCATGGTCAACCAAAAAGGTAGTCGCCTTCCCAAATCAAGACCGACTGCATGAACCATTTCAATACAGTAAGATGCAGGATAATTCAGGCCAGTTTTATTCTACATTAAAATAAACAATAACATCTTTCCTATTACTGTTACAGGGGCCAGTCCTCTCCAATGTTTTATTAATTTTGTATGGGGTTTCTATAACAAAAAAAGGATGCTTGCCACCTGAGCTAATTCCCGATTTCACCTGTCTATTTTCTCAACGCCACCAGACAGCCGATGCTTGCATTTACATAATGTGGGGAAATCACAGACAGATACTGGATCCCGCTGAGATACGAGCAGGTTTGAATGTCATTCAAAAATATGAAAATAAAGCATTGCCTTTGGTTCCCCTTAACTGTTACAGCCATTGTGCTTCACAAGACCATTAAAGAGCTTAACCAGTTAGGATTAAAATTCTGATTTCTGTTCTTGGCAAGGTGCAGAAATACTCTTTGGAGTAATTAAAACAGCTCTACAATGTAAGTCTTTTTGAAAGGCCGCTTCTAGGGAAGTTGGTTAAGCCATGTTGCAGAAATTTGTTGTCCAAGATATAGGCCTATCTCTCTCAGAAAAAAGGTACAAAAAGCTGTCACTGGGGCAGTATCTTTTCAAAAAGTTTTAAAGTGTGCATAGTGGTACCTTTAATGTACATTAGTACCTAAAGTGTACATATTAGTACCTAAAAGAAACAAAAGTGTTTACCTTTATCAGCATGCCCCAGTGACATCCTTTGTACCTTTTATTCTGAGAGTGAAACCTTTGAAAGCAACAGTAAAACAATCCTATCGTTGGTTTTAACATTGCATAATCGTGCCTTTATTTCAAACTTTAAACTGTTTCAGCTTTTCTTTCTTTACTGATTTTAATCTGCCCTGTCAGAAAACAGACGGGAGGAGCCTCTTGTTGGAAACACCTGAGACACAAGTCATACAGCCAAAGTCCCTTTGTATGCCGAACACATTAGATAAGGTGAGCTGTGAACCGGCTAACAGAAAAATCTATATAACCTTGTTCAAATAAAACTGAGGAAGGAGCAGAATATTTACCATACATTTTTACACACACAAAGTGTATGTTGAAATAGGCTCATGAATTATGCAAGCAGCACGTGTTAAATAAACACATGTGACATGTCTAATGCATATGCTTCAAGAAAAGCTGAAATTACATGGAATTGCCATGCTGTAATTATCCATCAGCAGGTCTGTTTATGAGTATAAAATATGTTTTTTTTTCTCAGTGTAGCATATTGAAACACGAGTGAGTGTCAATATAAAGCAGTTCGCGCCATCTAGTGGTCTTTTTTACTGAATAAATACGTATCGTATGGACAATGCAGATTAAACGCATGGATGTACGCAAATAAATAGTCTTGATGAAAAGCACAGGATTTAAGGTAAATGCATCTTTATAAGGTAATTGCTAGTCTGTATAATATGTGTTCGGAGTTTGTCACACAACAGAAAAATACCACCCAGTCATAGGCTAAATAGCCTATGAATCAACATTTTATGGAGGAATGGTGTTCATCTAAAATTATCATAAAAAGTTTATCCCAAAATATTTTATAATATGAAATGTTTTATTTTTATTTTATTTTTTAAATTTTAAATAAAATTTTCTGAAATGGAACTAATTATTTTACAAACATTTTAAATTAGAAGCCTTATGAGATATATATTATAACATTTAAATTATTAACCGTTTCAAAAATTAATTTTGGAATATAGATATCTGTAAAAAAAAAATGATGGCACTTTGCTATAGTGACTATTATTTTGCACTGTCTGTGTTATTTTGGCGTTACAAGGAAGTGATTAACGGCTGCTCTATGCGTGCAGTTCATTGGTCTGTCAGCAGAGGATGCTTTCGACATAGTAGTGTCGTGTGAGCTGATTGGTCAGTTGTGTATGTACGTGTCAGAGGAAATATAAACTAGGCTACTTGAGCTGCGTCTCATCGGCTTGATGTACAAGCATGGAGTCGTTTTAGTTATTCTTTTAGCAAAATAACGACAATAACGGTTGCAATGGAGGTAAAAAAAAAGAAAGAATATTCTCCGGTTAAAATTGAATCTCACCTTTTTTATTGGTCTTGGTCGTGTACTCCTTGTGTAAAGAGAACAGTAAAAAGAAAAGTGATCATGCAGACTCTAGCAAGCTGTCAAAAATAATTTTAAAGAATATCATTGTGCATCATTGATTGTTGCATTGTTGTTGTTTTTTTTTTTGTTAATATAAAGACTGCAATATTTACTTGCTTCACATCTGTATTTTTCTTAGTTTTCCAGTAAGATTATTATAACACTTATTATTATTGCACCATAATAATGTGCAAAAGTTGATGTGATTGTTATTACAATGTGTATAATTTACCTTTGTTATTAAAATCCATTTTAGCAGAACATTCAGAATCTCCCTATTGACATCCAAACCACCAAACTCTTGGGTAAGGAATAGTTGCATGTATGCATATTTACACATTCTTATGCATATGGATTGTAGTGATATTGCTTGTATAAATGCACAGTAGTTTAGATCTTGTACAAAGATGTATTTAATATTTTGCCTTTGTCTACATCATTCAGACTGGTTGGTGGATCGGAGGCACTGCACACTGAAATGGCAAAGTGCAGTTATGACCATTAGAGAGAAAATAAATGCAGCCATTCAGGATATGCCAGAAAACGAGGACATCAAAAAACTGCTCTCCGGCTCATGTAAAACTTAATAATAATAATAAGAATAATACAAACACGTTTCTTGTTTGAACGACTGTTATCTGCATTTTATTTATTTTTAGGTATGTCCACACTCATTTATTGTTGCTTTTGCAGATATTCACTATTTCCATTGCTTACAAATAATTGAAAAATTGAAAGGAACGGAAGCATCCACCAAAAATATTTTTGGCAGATATTCATCACAAAGGATGAAGGTGATGATGCTTCTCTTCTATTTAGTTTTATTTTTTTTTAAATGTAGTTTATCACTCTTAATATCTTATATAATAATAATAATAATAAATAATAATACATGCTGAACAGTGTTATTTTAGTATTATAATAGTTTTATTTTGAATTATCTTTTAGTTTTTTTAGCTTTAGAATTTTTAATTAATTTAAATTTAGCTTGGTAGTTTTCATGTTAATTTGAGTTTAATTTTGAGTAATTTTGCTTTTGTCATTTTATTAGGTTTTTTGTTGTTGTCGTCGTTGTTGTTTTCATTCATTATAGTTTTTATTTATTTCCAGTTAATAATTGTTTATGTATTTATTTATTTAAACATAAACAGGACTGGCAAGAGATAGTGTCCATGTATGAAACAGACAATGTCTATTTAGGTAAGAAATCATCACAATTATTTAAGACAAAATTTACCAAGTTACACAAACGTTGACATTGAGTGTGTATTTATTTTTTTTAACCCCAGCTGAAGTGGCCAGTATATTGATTCGTAGTGTAAGCTATGAAGGTCCTGCTCTAAGGAAGCAGGTGTCTAAAGCTCAGCAGCTTCAGCAGGAACTGAGCCGACGAGAACTGGAGTGTCAGAGTGGTGCCGCCGACATGAGGGAACGATATTACACTGCCTGTAAACAGTATGGGATAAGGGTGAGTCAACAATTCATTTTACTTTCAGTTATTCAAACAGTTCAAAAGTATTCACAAATACTATCATATGACATATTTCACAGGGGGAAAATGTGGCAAGGGAGATACAAGCATTGGTTAAAGATCTGCCTGTAGTTTTAGAAGAAACGGGCAAAAAAGCAGCCTGTCTGAAGGAAGCTATAGAGTTTTACTCAGTCTTCACAAAATTTGCCAGTGACTGGTGAGTGTAACTTCCTGTCATTTCTAAGGTTGCATAAGTAAAGGCCTGTTCACTCTCAGAATGATTTTTATTTTCAGCTGATGAACGATAAAAACATTGACAGCCAATCAGAATCCATCCTGCTTTAAAGAGCTCTAGCATTTAAAGTGGCAGATGACATAACTGCAGAATAAACAGAACGTTATCATGCGTATTTGTGAACGCTAATTTACTTATCTTTTTAGTTATTGTTCTTAAAGCTGGTAAACTTTATATACCTGCATTCATGTTTTTGATTGATCTCCAACATAAACCTTATACTGTTGTAATAATAGGGATGTAAGTGTGAGCTTGTAATATTCGACTTCCATTTTCAGGTCTGAGGTTGTATTGCCCATGCTGAGGTTTGTCCAGAACAAGGGGAACACAACTTTATATGAGTGGAAGACAGGAAATGTGCCCACGGTTGTAGAGAGACCTGTAATGGAGGAAGCCCCACCTGATGTTGTCACAGAGGAGACGGTAAGAGGGGACTAACGTGACTCCGGGTTTGGGTTTTAAAGTCGACATGAAACAAAAGTCGTGATAGTATTTTCTCTCTGTTGTGACGGACTATATCCGCTTCTCAAACATGAAAAAAATGTAGGGCAGGACTTGATTTTGCCACTGGGAAATGGTTGGATCATTGTATGGTTGTGGTTTGCTTTTGCTGTGAACTCATGTGAGTGACAGGTTGTTTTGCCTTCAGAGAATAGAAGAGATGTTGTTGCAAGAAGGAGGGGAAGTTATTTTTTTATGAAAGATTACGAGGGCACATGAATTTAAAAAAAAATGATATGCACGGCTAAATCATAAATACAGCAATATTCCATAAAAAATAGAATTGCCCATTTAGATTTCATGGTGACTAAGTATTTGTAGGATATCTGTGAATTAAAGCAAACAAGGGATCAATGTTTTAACCTAGTATTTATAACTCTTGCTTTGTGCAGATTGACTGGGGTGACCTAGGTGGCGGTGCTAGTACTGAAGAGGTTAATTTTGGGATCTCTGTTGAGGATGGTGTGGACTGGGGTATTAGCCTTGAGTCTGGCACCGAGGTACTTTTTACAAATATTACGAATATAACATTTTCAAACCCTCATGATATGGAATTAACACATTTTACCAATCAACGTTAGGAAACAGTTGCGGGTGGTATCGACTGGGGAGAAGCTGAATCTGCTCCCGTGGAAATCGAAGTTGTGGATGTGGGCACAGACTGTAAGTGTGTTGGGATTGATTGAAATTAACTATTGACATGAACATTGAGAATTTATGTTATAAATTGTGGGGTCAGTAGGTTTTCAAAAAAAAAAATAAAGATTTTAATACTTTTATTTAGCAAAGATGTGGCTTTAAAGACATTTATAATATTACTATTTCTATTTAAAATAATTGAGTTTCACTGAATTAAACCCAATTTGACATTATGAAATAAATGTTTTTTCTCAAAAACACATTTGCCTCAATTATCGGTACCCCTACATTTTTTTTTACGAATTTATCAAATGCAGATTTTTGATCATATTTACCAGGGGTGCTTTTAATTCTGAGTACGGCTGTATGTTAGAATGATTTCTGAAGGATCATGTGACACTGAAGACTGGACTAATGCTGAAAATTGAGAATAATGGCATTTTAAAATATGTTGAAATAAAAAAAGTTTAAAATGCAATAATATTTCAAATTCTTTACTTTATTTTTTAACAAATAATTGCTTCCATGGCAAACGTGAGACTTATTTCAAAAGTATTATTTCATTTTTTTTTTTTATTTTACTTATTTTCCATCCAAAGTGTTTGAATGGTAGTGTATGTTCAGAATGAATTAATTTAAGTGCTTTATAAAAATAAAATAAAAATCACAAAAAAAATCTGCAATTGGTTATAAGCTGGCTCATTAAAACATATTCATCAATTGTGTAAAAAATCAATTGTGCAGAATGCAACACTCCAAGGTCTGCAGATTTGATCTGGGCCTGGTTGTAGGTCTCAGTACTTTTACAGGTCACTTATTTTTGTCTAAGTTTGTTTTCTTATGTTGTACATATGATATTAAGTTTAAATTAAATATGTATCTGCCATGTAATAGCCGGTGATGCTCAAATGGCAGTAAACTCAGATACTACTACTATTTTTGCAGGTCCTGACGGTGTTGCCAGAGGTGAAGATGCTCTTTCTCTTCTGGAAAACACACAGACACGTGGCCAGTTCCTAAATGAGCTGATGGAGGTAGATACAGCTGCTCATTCTTACAAGTGTTAGACAGAATGTTTCATTTTTACCAAACTTTTTTTCTTTCCTCTGGGTTAGTTGGAAATGTTCCTGTCTCAGCGGCTCAGTGAGATGCACGAAGGAGGAGACTTAGTGGCCATGAGTCAGTTCCAGCTCGCTCCCTCAGTAATCCAGGTCCAGACTCCCGAGCGTGTGCAGGCCATGCTGGCAGAGGTGCGTGACCTGCAAAATGGGCTCACCTCAGTACGAATGCAGCATCTCTTTATGATCCATGCGTCACCACGGTAATTACACCCTTTGAAACCTTTCTCATGCAGAAATGCACTTCATATATTTCACCTCTCAGCCAATATTACCAGCCACCTTTTAAAAAATACTTAATGTTGTTCAAGAACATGATGAAGCTGAAATCTTGCAGTCAGATAATGATAAATCTGCTGTTGTGTGTGTTCGTGTCAGCTACGTGGAGCGTGTTTCTGAGTTACTGCGGCAGAAACTCAAGCAGGCTGATATTTTGGTGTTGAAGCAAGGTACGCTGGCTGAAAAGCGACAGGAGGCTTTGGAAGAACAGGCCAAGCTGGAGCCACGCATTGATCTGCTGGCTGCGCGCACCAAGGAGCTCCAGAAACTGGTAAAGTCACTTGTTATAATGATGTGTTTGCAGATCTGTTTAAGGTTTATCATAATACATTTGTTGTGTCACACAATTAGCCTGCTACTTCCTCTTTTACTTTATAAGTGAAAATAGCAGCTCACATGTTCACAGGGCACCTAAGTTGTTCCTTTATGCCTCCCTACTAAGTAAAAATGAGCTGATACTTGACAACTGTGTTGAATGTAAAGAGAAATGAGGTTAATAAAGCACAAAAGCTTCATGGTAGACATAAATTTACTGAATGTGAATTCCTTCCTCATTGTCTGTCTCTCACACACACAGATTGAAGCTGACATCTCAAAAAGATACAACAACCGGCCTGTCAATCTCATGGGAGTTCATGTGTGACCAAGAAGAGTATTTACATGCTGCACAGATGTATCATTTCATAAATAAAATGTCTCTCATTTAAACAAGGTGGGTAATTGTTTTGTGGCGATTCCTCTTTATGGGGGAATAAAATTGTTGCTGTCACAGCACCTTAAATATTCAAAGACGGCTGTAAATAACTTGCGTTTGCACAGCTGGCCTCATTTATTTAAAGTGCAGATTTCAGTAAATGAACTGTCTTAAGAAGCCTTTATATTTAATTTAAATATACAATTGCTAACCCTGTTTTTTGTAAAGAGCAAGCACACGGCGCCTTCTGTGAATAGGGTACAGAAGGGCCTCAAATTTCTAAAAGGTGTTTGTTTTTGAACAAAAAATGTTTGTAAATGTACAATACAGTAATAAAGACCATTTAAAGAAATAACTAAAATATTACACTGCTGTACTATTTTTTAATTTTTTAACTATTTTTCAAGGAATGCAAATATACTGGTTAAAATAAATGTCATGTCACCAGGATATCAAAACTATGATGATTTTTAGTCAATACGGTCAAACCTCTGAGGTGGAATAGGCTAAACTCACTATTAAGGGTGAGATATTGGCAGCTGATGCATTTTACAGTTATTTGTGCTGTAATTTTAAACACATACCATTTAAAGGTTTGGGATCAATAAGTTTTATTTTAAATAAATATTGTTCATATTAAATGTATAAAAAGTGTTATTTTGAAATTGTTATTTTGAAGTGTTATTCATGAAATAAATTCTGGGGGAAAAATATTAAACCGCACAACTGTTTTCAGCATAAAAAGTCTGGAGCACCAAATCAGCATAATAGAATGATTTCTGAAGAGTCATGTGTCAATTATGTTCTGGGTAATGGATGCTGGAATAAATCACATCAGCCTTGGTAAGCATAATAGACTTCTTTCAAAAACATTTAAAAAAAAAAAATACTTACTGACCCCAAGCCTTTGAATAGTGTACTGTACATAACCAAAAAATGCTTTGAAAAAATTCCATTTGCAAGTATTCTAACAGAGATACAGTGAAATATTACAGCATTAGATTGTTATAGGAATTGCACCTCAACTAAGTGAGTCTCCCTTGATGCTTTATTATCATGTTGTCTCTGTTTTGCCTTGGGGCAGCTGGTTAAATCACATGGCAAAAACACATTATGCTCACAAGATTGAGGATCTAATGGACAAAATCTTTGCACACCCCCTACATCTAATGCAAGGAACAGTGAAGCATAAAAGCTCAATTTCAGAAACAAGTTTTAAAACACATTGGGATTGTAGACTTTGCGTCATTGTCATGGCGACATTTAACCAAGATAATATCTGTGGCACATTCTCCCTTCAATGATTTGCACAAAATGCACATGCAATCCATTCTTTTGTCTGTCTCCGCCTATCTCCTCCACCGTCTCTGATCATGAAGCTATGATAAGTAGAGGGTGGCGCTCGGCCCGATCATCGCCTGTGCCATCAATCAGGCCAGACAGAACGCTGTTTACTGACACAGAAGCTTTAAAGAGCAGCCATTACAAAACACTTTGTTTTCCGCCCAGTCGACGAGAGCAGAATAACAAGACAAAGGTCTGTGCATTTATCAAATATTCCACTGAAACATCATACTGATGATGAAATTGAGACTAAAATTGTCACTGGATGACAGACCTAATCTCTTTTTTTGGGAGCCCTAAAAGCCTTTTGCCTTCCATTTGCTTATCAAAAAGCCCCTTCATCCCTGCAGCGGGCAGATGCTCTGAGCCGATGGCCAGGGTGAGACCCAGACTGCTGTGGCCCAGAAGACTGAGGTTGCCAAGACAACTGGCCCAGCACCCCTGCTGTTGTCACTCTGTCTGTGTCGCTCAGTCATTGATTCTCTCCATCTCACCAGCTCTCCACATGCAGCTTGTATTGTTCTCAATGGCCCTCATTGAGAAGGCATTGTACACGATAATACACCTACCAACTCTCCCACGTCCATTTCATAGTGTCACACATTACTCACCAAAAACCACATTGAGCATAACATCTTTAAATAATTAAAAGCCTTTACAAAATAAGCATACCTCAACCATTTGTGTTTTTGCAATTTAATTTAAAAAAAAGCTACATACATACATAAAGCAGTTGTCATATAGACAAAAGAACATCAAATAAAAAATACAATGTAAATAATGGTCACAGCCTATGACCCTGGAACATCCTGAAATCCTACATCTGTTAAATACAAAGCATTAAAAAAGAGACGTTCACAGAGACACATCATTAATATCTAAACATCTCGATATGTAAGCGTCAACTGTGCTTGTAGCAGCCAGAGGCTTTTGTGAATGCAACATTTGGATTTATCTGGAATTGCTCATTTGCATTTTCACATCAGTAACGGCACAAACTTCAGCAGCCGAACGACTGCCACACAAGATTATTGTGACTTTATTTGAAGACTATTGTCAATGCACATCGATTTCACTAGAGCCCAGGGCCCGTATTCATAAAGGATCTTAATGCAAAGAGTAGCTCCTAGTGACAAAATTCTTTGAAATGTGGGTGTTTACTCTTAAAATTAAAGAAAAAGTCCTAGTAAAGAAAAAAATTATTCAGAAAGTATCTTAACCCTTAAAAGAGGTCTTGAGGTCAAAATTGTTAGGAGTACTGGTGAGGACTTAAGAGTTTCTTTAGCAGAGGAGAAAATGGCAAAAATGTGTTGCCGTGATGGATGATAGTGAGTTAATAAGACGCTATAGATTGACACCTAGCCCGAATTTTCCTTTGAGGATGGCCTTGTGTTCATCCACTAACTGAGCTAACAGCAAACACTGTTCCTCAGATCCTCTCAAATAGGAAAAATTACACATGTAATTTCAAAGTGAAGGCTTAGAATAGACCATATACTTAAAATCACTAGTTTTCTTCCCCTTCTTGGACAACTAACCAATCACAGTCTTCAAACGATTGTGTAGCAACCATAGCAACGGGGTCAGCCCCGCCTCCTCACTAAGATGAATGTTTTTGTCTTTTCCTTACTCAGAGTTGCTCTCAGATCAGTCCTGAATCACTCTTAAGACTCCTACATAAGAGTTTTCTGAGAGGAAAGTTTTCTTAGAATTTTTATGAATACGGGCCCGGCCTTTTAATCGTAAATTACACAGAATTGAATTACCTTTAATTAATATAATGGAGAGAACACAACTGATATTCACAAACTGTATGTTTCAATTCTGGTTGATCATATCTAAGTGGGACATGGGACTCTGTAGATTGAGACCTCTAGACTCATATTGGCCTGAGAGCGAAGGTTTCTTCCTCAAACTCTTGGCTTCGTTTTGCAGTTTCTGACGGATGTAGCCCTTGATCTCTGCGTCGGTCTTAACAGGAAAGAAATACTGAACTGTTCCTGTATAGAAAATGTTTCAGGAAATTAGGTAGAATACATTTGTGCAAGTGTAAATTTTAACACTGATCAAAATGACTGAAAAGCATCTTACTCAGGACTGCCTGGACTTCTTCGGTGGGGAGAGCAGGCTTGGGTTTGCCCTTTTTGTTGAACACGACTCCAGATATGGAGTGAGATGCAAGGCATTCTCTCTCATAGAGTCCACGGAGCAGGTCGTTGGTCAGTTTTTGGGCAGTGGTGCCTGTGTTACACCTCTCCAAAAGGTCAGGTGTGATAAACTGAGAGAAAAAAAAAACAATTATATTTTCTGTTTAAAAACTGCTGCTGTGCATGTCAACAATATATAGTGTGTCAAACTCGGAGTTGAGAAAAATCTCTCTCAAGCCACGATAATTTTGAAGAAACCCATATTTTGGGCACTTTTGATCCAAATACAATACCTGCTGCAGTAAAACAGCACAGACATTCTAATACGCTTAAAAACACTTAAAGTGGCTAGATGTTCTAAAAAAGTGATATTAAAAGAAAGATCAAATCAAACTCAATATAGACCTTATTGATGATGCATGATACCATTTACAGGCAAGCAGATGAGCCCTGAATTTTAATGCAAACGTGCAAAATGGTTAAGTGTTTTCTGTATAATAGTTTTCTATGATAAAAGCTTAACAAAAAAAAGTTGCATTTATATTCTGGGTTTTCCTGTACGTCGTATGCATCATCAACAAGGTGCATATCAAATTTGGTATTTTAATATCACTATCTTACTACATAAGTACATTTACTAGATTTTAAAACATTAGTTAAAAAAAAAAAAAAACTGGCAGTCAATGGAAGAAAGTCTTGTTTTGCCCTCCAGGTGGTTAATTCCTATAAAAGTGTGACATCATATTATATATATATATATATATACATATATACACACACACAACTCAATCGGTTGTTTAGGGATAATGCTTATTTGTTGAACAACACAATCTGACAAACTCATATAGCCTACATCTGTAAAGAGTCCATCCTTCAGAGCTTTCTGAGTGGTCTCAAGAGGTTTCTGTGGTCCTTGGCCCTGATTCAACCATTGTCCATTCACAACAGCTGGCGGAGGCCGCACATCTGGTATCACAGTATGCGCCTTGGCAGGTGATTGTGCCGTGCCTCGAGTAACTGGGGTCCCGAGAGAGGTCCCGTTGTTCCCGTTTGACCACACTTGGGTCTTCTCGATCAGCGTTTCCAGGTTTCGTGCTAGTTTTCCACATGCTGTAGTGAGTAAATTGAATGTTAAGATTTGATTCATTCAATTCAATACATCAAAATACCAAGCAGAAACAAACGATTTTGACCTGTAAGGCACCTAAGTTGTTCCTTCATGTCCTCCATTTCCCTCTGCATGCACAAAACCATGGCAATGAGCTCCTTCTTCGAATAGGACTGTAAATAATTAGCCTCCTGCCATCAAAAAAGTACACAAGCTCAGGTCTAAAAGTAAATATCTTGCAAGCAAACAAGCAAGTCAACGAGCAAATGTCTTGAATATTGAACACAAGTGACTCATCCTACCTCAGACTCAGAAGCATGAGGACTGTCAGTGTAGAGGTCTGCGGAAGAACAATCCAGCTCATTAACCTGTCATGACAAGAAAGAGTCCTAATATTTTCTATTTCCCCAGTCAGTGGTCATTGATAATTATACAACCGTTCATTTCGGTTCAAAACCGATTTGACAACAAGGAACAGGTTTTGAAAGACTAAAGTTACTCACACACTTCCACTCCACATGATTCCAGTCAAGCTTTAATACAGTGTTGCATATTTTAAATATTAAGTATTATTTAGAACCATTGGTCGATTGGCAAAGCAGAAATAGGCAAACTAGCATGGTAATCTTTCAAATGTCAGTTACTGAGGAATAATTAAAAGTGCAGCCAAATCAGTCATGCTGATGTTCAGAACAAAAGCAGCTTTAATATTACTTACACATATACACTGACATGGTTCATATCGTGTTACCCATACAAAAATGTACCATGGAAAGCGGTTTCCACTTAAATGTCAGTCTATGTTATAAATAAAACGGTAGTGACCTAACTGCTAACCTCCAAGTCTGACTAGCTGAAAAGCACCCAAAAAAACCCAACTGAAAAGCAGTCCAGCATGGGAGATGACCAGCAAAGCAACTTTGGCCAATTTAAGAATTTGTCAGCAAAGTTAGCCACTATTGTATAAATGGTCAAGGTTCTGAATTTCCTTAAAATATATACATGAGAACCCAAATTGTGGCTTCCCAACAGTCACAATGCTGGTATTTTCCATGGGATTTCCACTTTTTTCCAAGTACCATGGTAATTTTGTACAAGCAACAAAATAATTTGAAAAGAAGATGGTTTCAAACTTTGTAAAGTTTCACATTTCAAAACTTTTAACTACCTGGCGAGTTTTTACTTGGACAGTTAACGTGAGTATAGCCTACTGGGCTTTAGTTGTGCAAAGCGCCTGATGAGCTTTCGATCAAATGATGTTCTGTACCATGCTTTACCCATTGTTCTTCATTAGCGGACAGGCATGGCCGCCTGCCCTGCCTCACACCACTGCTGCAGGCAGGATAGCAAAGCGTTCAATCTCGCTTTACGGTGCGAAAAGTGCAACAGTAAACCAACAACAGTCAATTATGGGTTAGATTGCGTAAAATGCTTATAACAGCCGACGTGGAACAACAACTGAGAGAATCATAAGCGAAATGTTTCCCTGTCCGCCTCCTCCGTCGAAATGCATAAAAAAACAACGAATAAACACTAATAATGAAGAAAAAGCCCAAACCTTCATGTCTAACTTCTGAAGCCCGGCGTCGGATGAGCTATTTTCTTCTGCTTTTTCTTTGGAGGGATACATTTTTCTTCGTTTCTGTGAACCGTTCTGTTGGACAGTCGGGTTAACACAATACTAATTATCATTTTGGGATCAAACATATGCCATTAACAGTTAAAAAAAAATAATGAGACGTAAAACACTTAAAAAAAAACGTTTCCGTCGATTATCTTACACTGAAGTCCGGGTTTTGTTCCTCTTCCTCGTCCTCTTCATTTTCGTAATCAAGAATCCGCTGCGCTTTTGTTTTCCTTCTCATTTCTCTCCCATTATTTTATTTGCGAGAGAGAAAAAGAGGCTCCACACTGCCTTGTGCAGTTACACTGTATCAGACTACAACAACACTGTCGCTCTTTTAAAGATTCAGACGCTGCAGATCTACTACAGATGCCAACAACTATGTTCCCAGCGATTATTCTACTTTAGCTCAAATACTTGAGTCAAGGAAGGACAGCACTTTCCCGAGAAATGACAGAGAACACATTTGAGGCTAACGCACCGTAGCGTAACGTGGCACGAGCTCGAGTCCCGTCTAGATTCAATCTAAAGGCAGCAACAACAGGAAATCCCTTGCATTTTTTTTTTACCATGGTAACCTTAGTTTCCGCCAAAATAGCATAGTAACTGCGGTAAATTTGTAATAAATCAATATAGAATCTCTTTCAAACAGTTCAAAAGCTTTTAGAATCTTTATTTTATTTTAATGCTGATACTGGTGCCAAATACCCACAGTATTATTTTGACAGTAAATGCAGTAATTATTATGGTATGTCTGCAGAAACAAACTATTGTAAATATTTACAAGGGGTGATCTATAAACGCATGTTTCCCCTCGACGCGTAAAATATTGTACGTAAACAAAAGGAAAGGGGGCTCAAACCACGTTTGCAGAGCAATTAACCTGACAATTGAGAAAGTTAGATTCGCCATGCAGAGTTTTTAAGAGGGGTTTCCCGAGTAATTATTAGTATTACTTTGCTGTCTTCGTCTTTGATGTGAGGGAGATCAGTTACGACTGTTTGTAAAAAGGACACATTGTAGCTTTAAATAAAAAAAATCTACCAAATAGTTTCCCTCCAAATAGCCTACCAAAAGATCATCCCCCCCAAAAAGACCAAGCCATCACTTTCATAACTTAAAGGGATAGTTCACTTTGAAATTAAGTTTTGTTAATAATTTTTGTTTAATATGTTTTAGCTTACCTCAAGGGCATCCAAGAAAACATAAGTAATATACAACACAGACAACATAAGACACAACAACATTACAAAACAAGACTACAAAAAAAAAAAAAAAAAAAAAAAAAAAAGTTTAACCTGCTTCTCACACTCTTGTGGGCTTCTACACCCAACATAGTTTCAGTAGTTAGTAGTTTCATTACAGAATCTCATCATCATAAATCGTCAACATAGAGCCAGGTAACAGCAAAATATCCTTAAGTGAATCTCAACCAAGGAAAAATAAATAAATAAATAAAATCAAAAACATAAACAGGTTATTTTAAGATAAGAGAATAGGCATAACCTAAAACGATTGAAAGAAGTAATAGATCTCAAAGAAACAGGAAGATTATTCCAGTCAGAAGGGGCTTTATACAGAAATGACCTACGTCCAGCTACGCTAACAGTTTTTGGAACAAAGAAAAAAGGATGTTGCGAATGTCTAAGAGAATAAGGAGTTCTATATGGAATTAGCAGTTCATTCAAGTAAGAAGGACAAGCGAAGTAAACACATTTAAAAATAAACAAAAACCAATGAAATTGTCTTCTGGATTTAGGATGCAACCAATTAAGCAAATCATATGGCAATGATGAGTACGATATGGACATCTTAACACAAATCTACACAAAGAATTAAACACAACATTAAGAGACTTAAGATAACTATCATAGGTGTTTTGGTAAACAATATCAGCATAATCAATAAGAGGAAATATTAGCTGAGAAACAATTCTTTTCCTGTCTTGAAATGAAGATGAAGATGAAATGAAGATGAAATGAAATCATGTTTAATATGGACTTCTCTGTGCATGCTCTTTGAGGTGGACCCCATACACCAGCATTATATGACTGACAGACAAGAACGGTTAGACCTAAAAAATATCAAAATTGAAAATACTGTGGAAACAAAGACATCTACATCTTGGATGCCCTTGAGGTAAGCTAAAACATATAAAAAAATAATTTCAAAGTGAACTATCCCTTGAAATAAAATCACATCATCAATAACATTAAAATTACTAAGATTACTAAGATTGCTCTGTTCCCACCATAGTGTTCTCACAATAGCTCATCCTGTAACCTTGGGATTCCTTCACAAAAGCCTTATACTGTACAAACTTGTTTCTGAACATGACTAGAGTATTGATGCTTTAACGGGATCCCATGTTCAATTAGAGTTTTCTGTATTTTGTAATTATTAGTAACCTTACATGCCTTAAAATGAGTTTACAAAGTCTCAGAGAGTATAGCCTGAAATCAATGTTCATAGATTGATTGATAAGGTGAAACAGTAACACTATTTAGATCAATGCAGTCTCACAGACTAATTTCCAAGTATCAGTAGCTTCCTAGAACAAATATATTCTTTGAAATATTGTCTTTCTGATCCAGTAACCGAGAGTTTGACGTCTTTTACAGTCTCCAAGTCACATTTCCAAGATGTTTTTCTTCTTTAGTCGGCCTAATCAATTGTAATGCTTTCTTCTGCAACTCCTGACTAGTTCTGTTTTTGTTATAAGGCAATCAACTATGGTCAAACTTCAAAATTTGAGCATTCAGTGTGCCCTTTCAAGAAACCACAGTGTAAAATTAAAACTAATGTACCCAAAAAGCTAATGAGCTTTTGAGAAAAACAAGTTGTTTTGCATATATATATATATATATATATATATATATATATATCTCAGAGACAGAGAGAGAAACAAGAGGCCGTTTAAGGGTAAACTGACACAAGCATTTGACACATAGAAGCATGTTTTATGTAGATATCTATTGAAGAACAAAATAACTGTATTTTAAAATTCTTCAAGCAAAAAAGATAATGTAAGGATATGGAGGAAGTTATTGGGTCTGACCTATGGCCTTTCAAACAAGTTCAGGCCCGTCTGACACGTTCAATGAACGCCATCCAGTGGTTAAAAGTAAATATATTTTTTTTATAGTAAATTATTTTATTGAGTCAAGTTGTGTTTAAAGTGTCTTTTAATTTCATTTAATACAGTTTATTGATTACAATGTTTATTACCGTCATTTTCTTTATAAGTTACTTTGTATCTGGTTGCTGATTTTTGTGCTTCATAATAGTTTTAATGTTGAAATGTTGACGAAAAGATTATAATAGAATATTTATACAATGGCTGTATAATAATAATAATTGTGGCATTTACATTTGCAGTGTTTTAGTGATTTTCAATAATTTTATGATTTTGGGTAGGGTAGGCTACCACTTTAGAATATCGCAAATTATTACAAAATTTGTATTCCCACGGTTCATCAAAACAATAAATAAATAAAAAATATATATACATATATCGTCTTATTATAGGTTTTGGGAATTCGGGGAATTTTGATAAATGATATCATCCAGTATGTGCACTAGAATATTCTACGCGTGCGCAGTGGCAGCATGTTTCAGCGCCTCAGTTTCAGCCAAGTTGTCGGCAAGAGGAAATTCTGCAAGTCATGGTGGGCCATTCAAAGCGAGAGGGGAGTGACAGGCATATAGATATTTGAGGAAATAAGTCCGTAGTTAGTTAGAAGTGTTTGATGACAGTGGGCTGTGTATGCACGTGGATACATTTTGAGTCATTTGTCAGTAAACTCTTCTTGAGTAAGTATGAAAAAGGACTATTTTGATGCTATGCTAGCGGGCTAAGTTAGCTATAGCTTTCGAAATTGCGAATCAATGTGAGAGCGTGTGTCAGTGTGGCTGCTGCAAATGCACAAGACAGCTTTGCTTGAGCTGAAGTAACTATTTTTAGCGCTTAAGTTTAACCATTAAACAGAACTGGGTATTTAATAAAAGTTGTTATTAGTAATTCTATGTCCCCCGTAGAACCCCGGCAGGGCCCGCCTCCTTATTGGCTGTTGCCTGGAGAGAAAATGAGTGACAGGCATCTAAGCCAATCAGAGGCTGTTGCGCCACTTGTTGCTAACGGGCTGCTGGGCTCTGATAGCGGAAGTGTAAGAGGTCAATACTCCATAGTGCTTGGACAACTACAGTATTTTTAGATGAGGACTTAGAATGGTTAGTTGAAAGTAGGCAGTGAATAACATTTGGCCGACGCTCAGATTGGTGACGATCATGCGCGATCTCTTTACGCAGTTGTTATTTGAGGGTTACAGGGATGGATGGATGGATTGCTGTAGCTAGTGGGTGTGATTTTGAGGTGGGAGGTCATTAATGCATTTATGTTTTATAGTAAATTTAATTGTAAGGCAGTTAACCGTCACTGTCAAAATTGCATTTACGTTGTGTTTCAAGCAGTTCGTTGTGGTATTTGATGAGCTTTTGTCAAACCTGATGTGTTTTAACAGTTACATTGGAGTAAAAGTTGATTTGTATATCATGCCTAGCATGATATCATGCCTGTGATGCAAGCATTTCATTGTGATTTAACATGTTATTTGAACTTTGATTTAGCTGTAAATGCAATATTGAAAAGCATATTTTGCTAATAATTTGTTTTTGTTTTTTTAATTTTGTATTTGTTCCTTCTCTTTCTATGCAGGCTGGTCAAACTTTCGAAAGTGTATGCTTATAGATATATAAGCTGGATATCATTTGGGCAAAGAAACGTACATCAAGGACCAAAAAAAAGAGGATTTTCTGTCATTCTAGGCTGACCATAACCTAATTTGTTTGTGTGTTTTTTTGTTTTTGCTTTTTAGTTTCTTTTTGAGTTTTTTCTTTTTTTGTTCCTTTGCAAAGAAATGCTTTACTTGAAAAAGTACTTCACAGAGGGTCTTATTCAGTTCACTATCCTCCTGAGTCTAATTGGGGTACGTGTGGACTTGGACTCTTATTTTAACAATCAGCTCCCCCCACTCCGTGAGATCATCCTGGGCCCCAGCTCGGCCTACACGCAGACGCAGTTTCACAATCTCCGTAACACCCTGGACGGCTATGGCATCCATCCTAAAAGTGTGGACCTGGACCATTTTTTTGCAACTCGTCGGCTGCTGAACCAGGTGCGCTCCCTGGATCATCTGCGTGTGCCCAGCACTGAGCTGAGTGCCTGGCTGGTGCATCGTGATCCTGAGACTGTGGTTTCAGCAACCAGTCAGTCAGGATCCAGCATTGCCCTGGACAATGGGGGCAGCCTGGAGGATGTGAACAACTCCGAAGCCTCGGCCATGAGAGGGGCTGGCAGTGCTTCTGAGACCACTTACAGCCTCAGCGGAGAGGACAGCCTGGGAGCCGTGGCCCCTGAGGACAGTCAGGAGCAAGGGGAGAGAGAGACCAGTGACGACCTCTCTAAAGAGGTACAGTAGTTGTGTTTTTAGCTTAGCATACTGTAATTAGATTGACATCAGTTTGTATTTGATTTCTTCAAAAAAAGAAAAACACAATGTTATGCTTTTATCTTTAGCCTTTTAGATTAAGTTTATTGTGTAGTGGGTGGTATTAAGCATGTTATGTGTGAGCTAGTAGTATTCTTACTCCTACGTTATGAGCCTTACAATTGTGGCTGGACAGGGTGTGGTCTCATCGATTGGGGTTTCTATCTCTTAAAACTGTTTGTGTAGGCCTGTTTCTAAGCTATTAGTAATGTTAACACTATTTTATAGCGGTGATGTCACTGCTTTTTACATGTTGAACAAACAGTGTGCTGAATTAAAAATAGAGATTGGAGGTAGTGATTTCAGTAGACTCACCATTTAAATAAAGGTCATCGACTCTTGTGGTTGTCAGTATCTTACAGGATATGTAGCATTTAATTTTTTGAAAGAGAATTGTTCCTTTGTTATATATTTATGAATATATGCTTGGAACAGTTTGACAAATTTATAGCTCAGCTGATGTTATGTGCATCATGTATCTCATTAAATATAATTATCAGATGATTTTCTGTAATCTTAGCCCTTTAATGACCCTCCCCTTTAATAAATATATTTCTAGGACATTGACCTCATAGACATCCTTTGGAGGCAGGATATTGACCTTGGTGCTGGCCGAGAAGTATTTAACTATAGCAATCGGCAAAAGGAGAGTGAGGCTGATAAACCTAATGAAGAGAACGAGGAGGCAGGTGGAAGAGAGGAAAGCTGGAGAAATGGACTAAATCTCCAAGCAGTGCAGAGCCAAGCTCATGTTGATGGAGAGACAGGAGAAAGCATACCTGAAGAGGTATGTGCCGTGATATGCTAGGATTACTTACAGGAAGGTGTAAGGAGCACAGAAAGGTTTTAAATATTAATGCTTGTAGATTATTCAAAAAGGCTGGTAGCTCAGTTGTAGATGCAAGTGAATTCTTGTCAACCTTGTAATTACATGGATTTGTCTTGTCGTATTTCCTAGCTTACCAGTCTCGGTGCTCAGACTTCATTATCCCTGCAGGAATGTCTGAGGCTTCTGGAGGCCACCTTTCCATTTGGAGAAGAGCCAGAGGTAATGAAAATTCATATTAATGTGTATATTAAAACATGACTTTTTGTTGACTGTCATTTTACACTGTCTTCTATTTTTTTAGTTCCAGGCCACAGGATCCACCTCCCAGCTTAGACCTTCAACTGAGGAAGCTCCTTCAACATCACAAGGGATCACCCTACAAAGCCCTCTGCCGCAGTCTGATACACCACTTGACCTGGAGCAGCAGTGGCAGGACATAATGTCCATTATGGAACTGCAGGTTTGTACATTTATTACATTCAAGTCGAAATATGAAGTCTTAATTTATGTGTCAGGGACAATATTTATAATGAGTCTATATGGTAAAGTAAAATAAATATTACCAGGTTGCTGCTGGAAGAGGTGTTAGTGAGGCCAGCAGAGGGTGCTCACCCTGTGGTCTGTGTAGGTCCTAACGCCCCAGTATTGTAATGGGGACACTATACTGTCAAAGAGCATCGTCCTTCGGATGACTGACGTTAAACCGAGGCCCTGACTCTCTGTGGTCACAAAAAATCCCAGGATGTCTTTTGCAAGAGTAGGGGTGTAACCCTGGCATGCTGGCCAAATTTTCCCAGTGGCCTGTACATCATGGCCTCCTAATAATCCCCATATATATACCAATTGACTTCATCACTCCTCTCCACCAGTAAGCTGATGGTGGTGGTTGAGGAGATTACCCCTTCTATGTAAAGCGCTTTGAGTGCCGAGAAAAAGCGCTATATACATGTTAATAAGCATTGAAAGTGTAAATATATTTTTTCCTAAGAATGAATAATAAAATATGATGCCAAACCACTTATTGCCTGTATTTTCAGGTATTTTTTTTAATCTGGCATTTTAGTGTACTCTTTAGTAAATTAAAAGATAGAACAACAATACTAATAGAACCCTATTTAACATGTATAACCTCTTTTTCAGGACATGGAGGTAAACAATACTGCAGTAAATGTCAGCATGAATAATGACCCCAATAACAACAATGCCAGCACCACAGAATCAGTCACAATAGGAGGTTTTGGACTCCCACGGTCCACTCTCATTAACCAGGATGTTAGTCTCCACCAGGCTTCGCTGCCCAGCTGCAGCCAGGACTTTCCCACACTCTTCAACCCTGAGTTGGATTCCACTGCTGGACAGCGGCCTACCTTAGTCAGGGTCTCTACCAGCAACTCCTCCAACATCAATTCAACATTTGGAGCTACTAACTTGACCGGACTCTTTCTTCCACCACCACTAAATAGTACAACCAACCTAACCACCACTCCAGTACTGCCAGATCCATTTTCCAGCCTGCTGGAGGAGTCTATGCTGGATGAAATCAGCCTGCTAGACCTTGCGATGGAAGAGGGCTTCAGCCAAGCCCAGGCTTCTCAGCTCGAGGATGAGCTTGATTCAGACTCGGGTCTTTCACTGGACTCCAGCCACAGCCCGGCCTCTCCTAGCAACTCGGAGACATCCTGCTCGTCAGCCGCGTCATCATCATCCACCTCTGCTACATTCTCAGAGGAAGGAGCCGTGGGCTACAGCACCGATTCGGAGGCAGCTGCAGCAGAAACAGAGGAAGGAGCTGTCGGAGGCTACCAACCGGAGTATAGCAAGCTATGCCGCATGAGCTACCAAGATCCATCTAAGTTCCATGGCATACCGCAGTTGGAAAATGTCAATCACAACCACACCTACAATCTACCACTGGCATCATCCTATTCTGAGCGCTCTCAGCTGTCGGCATCCTGCAGCAAGAAAGGCAGAGACAAGCAAATGCAGCAGACAAAACTCCAGCCACCACAAGACTTTGCTGACAGGCAGTCAAGCCGTGATGAACGTAGGGCAAGGGCCATGGACATCCCATTCTCCAATGAAAAGATCATCAACCTCCCCGTTGAGGAGTTCAACGAGCTTCTGGCCAAGCACCACCTCAATGAGGACCAGCTCGCTCTCATTCGCGACATCCGCCGTCGCGGAAAGAACAAAATGGCAGCGCAGAACTGCCGCAAACGCAAGCTAGATACCATCCTTAACCTCGAGCAGGGTGTCCAAGACCTGCAACGTGAAAAGGCTCAGCTGCTGAAGGAGAAGATGGAGTACGATAAGTGCATCAGACAGACGAAGCAGAAGGTTCAGAGCCTATCTCGGGAACTGTTTGCACAGCTGCGGGACGAGGAAGGCAGGCCCTACTCAGCCAGCGAGTACTGTCTGCAGTACGGCCCTGACGGCGTTGTCCTCATGCCTCGTAACATGACCACAGAGCAAAGCAACAAGCCTGACAAGAAGCAGAAGGACAAAAAGAAGTGAGGAGCTCGAACTGCTGCCCTTTTATTTTTCGCAAAGGCACTACCATACAAAGTATTTCGGAAGGCAAAGCCTTTTTCTTTGAAACGATTGTAGGGAGGTGAAGGAAAATTGCATCATTGATTACTCTTCCTGCATTGGGTTTTCTTTGTTCCTTTTCGGTTCAGAAGTTTTCTCCTGAAAGCGGCATTGAAGCAGACGTGCTTTTTGTGGTACTGATTTCTCGTTGATTTACCTAAAAGAAATGAGCGAAGGGATACTTTCAGATGCCAACTGAAGGAACTGTCAAGGAACGTGAGGTCATGGAGGACACCGACAAGATGTTCTTAATTGAGAGAACTATTCGGTAATGCTCCCACAAATGTAGTCGATGACAAAAATGCACCATATTAAGATGATTTTGACTGTAAGGATGCAAAAATTGTTACATTTTCAGCATTAGCCCATGCTGTATTTGTGCGTACCCTGGGATTTCATTGGTCATGGTGGGTGAGGAAGAACCCCTTGATGCTGCAGGATGGTTGAAAAAGAGTCTACTGAATGCTAGAAGTGAAGCCAAAAGAAACTTGAGGCATGCCAATACTAACCAAAGGTTGTGTTGCGCAGTTCTCTTGTTCATGGATCTAAATTCCCATTTTCACTTGGAAAAAGAGCAAAATAAGTCTGGACAACAAAGTCACCTGAAATTTATCTGGAGGCTGAATGCCATTTGCCAAAGAACTTGGACAGCAAAACAAGTAGTGCTAAAGAGTGAGTATGAATTTAGCTTTGGCTTTAGGAAAAGCATTGGAGGTACTGATAGAGGATGGATACACACTGCATTACTAATAAATCCGCTTCTGTACCCTTTTCAGCACTGTAAATCAACACTGTAGTTTGCCTATAAGCTTTTCCTCTTCTGCTGGGGAAAGGGTCTCTCAGGCCCTCCTATCAGCTTTTAATGTTACTCTCTCCCATGTGCATAAACCTTTTAATAAGCCATCAGACATGGACATCAGTACTGTTTGAATCATGTGATTAGGTCTGGTGTGTCTTGGTATACACTACAGGATTAATTGAAGGAAACGGATTCATTTGCTTCTAGAGGTCATGTTTATCCTTTGTCGCAGGTCAAAATGCTTTTTGCTATTGCAACTTACACCAGTGACTTTTTTTCTGTTGTAGTGGAGGAACGTAACAAGGTGCTTTTGTTTCAGTTGTACTGTCACCTAAAAAGGAACAGAATGCGCACCAATACACAAACAGTAGCGGGCACCGCACAGGTCATTCTTAAGTTTAAACTACAAATTCTAATTAGCTGGGTCAGCATCTTAGCTTTGATGTGATGTGAAGCTGTTTTTTTTTTTTGTTTTGTTTTTTTTACCGAATACACTACTTTTACTAAAAGTGATTGAGTGAAGCCATGAATGATCTCTTGGCAAAAAATGAGGTTAAGCTTGTGCCAATAACCAATTAGATCATGCTTTACTTCAGCCTGAGGACACAGCTGACCTTATACACTGACATATCAATGAATGGGTAGAGAAAAAAAAAAAACAGCAATGCTGATGTGAATGTCTAATTTACATAATGTTCAACTTCGTCCAATTCTGTCAGTCTGTCGTTTCCATCTACACTGTTCATAAAGCACCATGAGACACGGTCAGTGTCCGTTTTGGCGCCACATGAATAAATATGCAAGAAAACGTTGTTGTTTTTTTGTCTCAGAAATGGAAAAGAGACAATCTTTATGTTACCGGTCACAAATACTTAGCATAGTTCGGGTAGAGATAATGAAAAAAGATAAGAGATTCGTTCAATTAGATCAGTGTGTTCTCAAACCTACCCTTGTGGACCCCAAACACTGCACATTTTGGATGTCTCTCTCTTCAGACAAACCCAATTTATGTCTACTAATGAGCTGGCAGGTGTGTTAGATGAGAGAGAAATCCAAAATGTGCAGTGGTGGGGGTCCCGAGGACAGGTTTGAGAAGCACAGACTTGAGAATCCCTGTTACAATGTCATAACTACTTGCCATTAAGCACTGCTGTTTTTGTTCGTCTTGTAAATATTTTTGTGTTCTGTATGTCTCTCGTCCTAATTGCTTGGTTCAGCCAGGCCTTTTTGCACCTTCTTTGAATTTGCCTGTTGAGTATTCCTATATGATTTATGTTGAGATGAGATTTGCTGGCAATCTGGAATTGTTATTTTATTAATTATAATAAACCTTTGTTTCATTTCCTTGGTTTTGCTATTTGAAAAAGGCAGAGAATTTGTGATTCTAAATGAATGTCAAACAATAAAATGAAATGGTTCTTAAAATATAAAATATTCCTTATATCGCTTCTAAAGTCAATTTTAATTTTTGGTTTCACTTTATTTGGATGATCCCTTTAACACATTCAGTTGACTATAAGTAACGATGCACCTACAACTTTACTAACTCTCACTAGAGTGTTAGTAGAGAATTGGCAGACTGGTAGGGTTAGGGATAGAATAAGTTGACATGTAGTTGCAAAGTTACTTATAGTCAGTAGAACGTCTGTTAGAGGACCATCACAAAGAGTTTGCCGATATTAAGCAGAAAGTCTACTAATACTCTAATGAGAGTTAGTTGACACTTAGTTGCAAAGTTACTTATAGTCATGAATGTGTTAAAGGGATCATCCAAATAAAGTGTTAACTAATTACAATATTTACAGTATTCAAAATTTTTGGTTCATAATTAAATATAAGTATACACCATGATCTGTCTGAATACTCAATTCTGATAGGCACAGGTAATTCCCAGAGCTGTTAAAAAACAGTAATTGCAAGTCAATTTAATCACTGTTCTATATGAATGCGCTGCTTGCATTGAAGTACACACACACACACACACACACTCCAGAGATTGGAGATGGAGCTACACACACAGAAGCTTCTTGTCAGTGCTGCCCCGTGACTTTTATTAGTAAATTAATTTCTCTACTCAATTAGTACATTAGTCAGCAAGGAGGTAGAAACATAGAAAGCTGTTTTTGAAGTAATTAAACTCGCAGCTCCATTGCTACTAAAGAGACGCTGAACAGACAGGTAATTCTCTCTCTCTGACCCTTTTCACAGATTGATGATGTGTTTTAACGTTCATCAGCATCGTAAATCCTGCAATGTTTTTAAATTTTAATTATTTTTTCAATGTATGTACACTTATAACAGTTTACTTTGTATTATATTAGCTTTGCATCAAATTACAAAAAAAAAATAGTTAAAAATAAATAAAATAACTCTGCTGAGGGTGTTTTTTATTCAGTGGCTTTGGGAGTGATGGTAAAATTGACATCTTTCTCTTTCTGACTGCCGTTATCAATCCTCTTTGAAAGTTGTGAAAACACTTGTGGAGTTTTTCTTTTGCTGTTTGAGCAAATGGAAACACAAAGCTTCGACCATTACATCAGCAAATAAGAAAATTAGGATTTCTTTATAAACAAGAAATGATAAAACAAAAAAAACTAAAAATCTTTTTACAGTCCATGGGTGTAAGATGTAAGAATATTTCTGAATTTAGTTTTATCTGCTGCCTGACTTGTTTTGTGGCAGGCTGCTACATATTTTGCTGATGTTGTGATCAAAATGGTCTGAGTTTTTCTGGATTTGGTAATGCCATAAAATTTGGTGCTATTTGTTTAAATTTTGTGAAGTAGCAGCTCAAATGTTGTGATAGTGATGATAGTGCAACAAGTGTTCTTCTTAACAGTCTCTATCTTTCCCTCTCTCTCGAAAGAGTAATTCAATCAAATAAATGTTTTAATTCAATCATATATACATTTAATGCACTACTATATCTCTCTGTCTGATTATAATGATCTAACGAGTGGTAGCTGATGAAAATAACCATCATTTTAACCCTCCCAGATATAATTTAGCGCTGCAAACATCAATCACAGCTTTAAAGGAGTGGTTCACTTTTAAAAAAACTTCTGATAATGTACTCACCCCCATGTCATCCAAGATGTCCACGTCTTTCTTTCTTCAGTCGAAAAGAAATTAAGATTTTGATGAAAACGTTCCAGGAATTTTCTCCATATAATGGACTTCATTGGGAACCAAATGGTTCAAGGTCCAAATGAGAGTTTCAGTGCAGCTTCAAAGGGCTTTAAACGACACCAGACGATGAATATGGGTCTTATCCATTAATAATTTGGTAAATTATTACAATTTTATCTTCAGTGGGTACTTAAGAAAATATTTTGTCAAAGGGGTTTGGGCGACAAAAAAAGGGAATCCCTGTATATGTAGAAAACATTATATAAACTAAATATCTTATTGAGAGTATAAGCATAAATAAGTGAAAGTATAAACAGTTTTGACAGAATTACAACAAAGATTTTTATTTTTGAAAATGGTAATTCAATGGCAAATGCTCTGATAATATGCTCTAATAACATGGTTAAACCAAACTAGCATACAATCGTTAAAGCTCAAAACATAAAAACATACTTGAAATGTGTTCAGGAGGTTACAGTTCTTTTACTTTGTTGTGTAACAGTAATAAGACAAAAGAGTACCAAAGTAAAAACAAACCTTCAGCTGACTGTACACAGTGATACTGATGTGCAAGGAAATGGAATATTTACAAACACAACTGTCTAAGAAAGACTGTTAATATCCAATGGGGCTGACTCACAAATAGCACCTATGGTAAGACCAGACACGTAATAGTTCATGGGCAAATAAACACTGAAGAGTAACAGCTGCTGGCATGACTTTATAAAACCAAATATATCAAAGCCAATTCCGAATGTTTAATAAGGCTTATATCCTAAACCTTTCTCCATGGGCCCAGATACAGTCATGCATTCAATGACCACCTGCATTGACAGATGTATAAAAGTGACGTTTTCTTAATAATCTGTTAAGGCAGTAATATTTTAACATTAGTTATATAAACATAAATTAAGGATCATGAAATACATCAGGACGTTTTAGAGACAGCTACAGCATCAAATGAAACCGACCCAGTATATGACAGACTAAAACATTGTAATCTACACAGGGTAGGGGGCATTTCTAACATGTAAAGATTTTTTATTTGTTTTTAAATCACATGTATGAATATCAGACTGTGATGCTTTTCAATATGTTGTATAAATTTAAATCTGAATATGATTTGAATGTTTTTAAAGAGTACATTAAAGGTGCAAAGTCACCTTTCTAGTGTTCTATTCGCTTCATCTACGGCAATGGTGCCAAAACTAAAATACGCTGAAACCTATGTAGATTAGTTTATAATGTTGCTTTGTACAAGTTTGTTTCTGACAATTTTCCTTTGCCATCTTTTAAAAAAAAAAAAGAACAACAACAAAAAAGCAGATCAATGGCCACGACTGATATCGACTGTCCTTACATCAATTTTTTTTTCCGTTGTCGTCTAATTTTTGTCATCCTTCTTCTCTTCCTCTTCAGTGGGGTATGAATGCCAGGTGAGGCGTTCCTCGTAAAAGGAGATGACCACTTGTGGACACTTTACATTCGCCTCCTTGGCTGGTACAAGATCAGCTTCATCAGAGTTTTTCCTGTAGTATACAAAAACACAGAAGACATTAACAACCAACAGCTCGGCTATTTTTCATCCGAGATGGATTTCTAAGTTGAGGAAACCGAGGGCAATTGTAATTTTTACATTTTCCTTCAACTCACAGGCAACTCAAAATATACCAGCTATCTTTTGGTATATGAAGTCCATTTGTGCCTAAATATATTGTAAAAGGCTACATAATATCAAATTTCATACCAGAAATCAATAACATTACAATTGTCCCCGTTATGGAGGTGACTGTAAAGGTATGAATTTAGAGCATGCAAAATAGATTTGCAATGAAGTTTGGAAACAAGATAGGATCTGTTTTTAATAAATAATAATTAACAAATGAAACCATGGAAATATCCCATCCACTTCACTTTCCACAAAACTCTGCTCTTAGTATCTGAGCCTAGAGGTCAATTTTGTGACTAACATAATTAAACCTTTAGTATGCAGAGGAAGATGAAACTTGCATTTCGCATTCACGTGCATTTGAATGAAAGTGAATGGAGTGGACAGTTCACTCAAAAAATGAAAATTCTGTTATCATTTACACATTCTCATGTCATACCGGTATGACTTTCTTTTTTTGGCATAACACACAATATATACAGTATATTCTTGTTTTATATTTTATATATATATATATATATAAAATGTTATTTTGGACACCAATGTTATGCTTTGGTGTTTCTCAGAAGAAAAAAAGTCACTGGTTTGGAATGACATGATGGCGAGTATGTGATGACAGTATGTTAATTTTTGGGTGAACTACCCCTTTAACGATGCTTGGGGGAAACTGTAACACAAATAAGCCATATAACCACAATCCTGAAGTTTTGAGCACAGCACTAGCAAAGCTCGGTAAGTTCATGGCTTTGATTCCCAAGGAATGCAAAAATAACCTCAATGCTGTATTCACTTTTTTCAGATAAGTGTCCAGGAAAAGTATTTGCTCCTTTACGATTTCCTTGATATTGCATATTTATCAATGTTTCCTGATATTCCAACAAAATGTAACATAAGACACTAAGAACCAGAGTAAACACAAAATTAACTTTGCTAAAAGATGAATACATTTAACTTAAGTAAATTTGTATTGAATTAAAAAATGTTAATTAAAAACACCATGAAAGTGTCAATGGTTTAATTTGCAAGGAATAATGTGTTTAAAACAAGTCTAAATGGTACCTACACAACATAATTATAAAATAAATAACTTTTATTTTTGTATTAAATATATGCTGCCTGGCTAATAAGTCGACCTTCAACTAGATGCAACACTACCGTCCAAAAATTTGGGGTCGGCAAGTATTTTTTATGTTTTTGAAATAAGTCTTTTAGGCACGCCAAGGGTGCATTTACTTGATCAAAAATACAGTGAAAAATTATTACACATATATGTATATGTATAGAGAGAGAGAGATAGTGTCACATGATCCTTCAGAAATCATTCTAATATGCTAATTTAGTGATCAAGAAACTCAAGAATAATTTCTTATTATTATCAATGTTGGAATAGAATGAATATAAAGTTGAAATAGAAATCTTTTGTAACATTATGAATGTCTTTACGGTCATTTGTGATCAATTTAAAACACTTACTGAATACAAGTGTTTTAGCCTATCTTTAAAAAGAAATCGTACTGACCCGAGCTTTTGAAATGATAGTATGCTTAAAATAAAATTGATTACATATTTTAAAGATTCAATTTTGCAGTCTAGTGTTACAATTACCCCGACCTCACATCTGTGATAAAATGTTGCATGGTAGCTACCATATGTCATTCATGTTAACTTTTGACCAACAACCTCAAGATAAAATAGATATGTTACAATATGAAACCATCAAAACTTAAGATGGCGAGTGCAAAAAAATCTAACAAAGTGATACAATCCCCCATATGCTAAATAGGTGTGATTGAAGAAATTTAGTGTGTTACAATTGCCCCCGATCTCTCCTAATGCTGCTCAGGAACTGTCCCTCTAATCCAATGCTTGTTTGTACCTTACGGGTAACAATTTCCATACAAACCATTTCATGAGGAACATGAGTTCTCCACTTGAGTCTGTAGCACCAATAATCCTCTCAGGATCCAAACCACGTGCAAAACCTCTGAGTTTCTCAGGCTAAATTAAGAGAGATGGCATGTAAGACACTGTTGAGCCCATTCAATCTCTTTTGGTTTTCTAATGATTTAAAGACACTTCCTGACCAGCTTATAGACATGGAATGATGTAGACATCTCAGATGCTCAGATCTTCATGGCTCTTACCTCATCCTTGCGCTTTTTGGTTTCCTTTCCATCTCCGTCAGATTCGGCCCGCCTCTTGCCTCCAGATTCAGCCGATTTCTGCGACTGAAGGAATTCTGCTATGAGGTCAGGACAGTCCAGGTTGTCCTCAGGTTCCCAAGTGTTGTCTTCACTGAGCAAAAAAGTAAATAAGCACTAGGATTTACACCCAAAACCAAGCTGAAATCTATGGAAGCTTGAAAAAAAGGTCTTGGAATTACCTAATGTATTTTTTATTCTGTGGCAGAAACAAGCTTCAGTAAAAATCAAACTGCAACTTACTCAGAAAAGCCTTTCCACTTGAGGAGATACTCCACTCTTCCCTTCACCACGCGCCGATCCAAAACCTTCTCTACAACATACTCCTCTTCTTCTTCTTCCACCACTTCTTCTACTTTCTTTTTGTTCTGTTTCTTCCCTGCTGTTGATTGCTTGGTTTCAGATTGAGAAACTGGAGCTGGATACAAGAATGGCGGGTAAATAAATAAGCGTTCAAGTTAACCTACATCATTTACCACAGCAAATGCCAAAATACCAAAGTTACTACAATTGTTGTTTGGGTAACAAAATAGTGGAAATGTGATACTTGCAACTGCTGCCTTAAAAAAATTAAAGGGACAGTACACTCAAAAATAAAGATTAATCTATTTTATGCTAAATTGAATGTTAGAGGCGGACAGCCTTTTACATATTTTTCACTTTCATTTTATATTTTTCCATTCAATGAAAGAGATTGTCATTCTCCATAACAACACAGGAGAAAGTAAGCCTACGGATTTGAAACACTATTACAATAAGGTCCCATTAGTTAACATTAGTTAATGCAATAACTAACAACGAGTAATAGATTTGTAATTGTAAATATTGTTAATATTTATTAATCTTTGTTGGTGGTAGGTGATAAAAAAAATACAACTGCTTATTGTTATTTCATGTAAACTCAAGTCCTTTAAATAATACTACCAGATACAACTTTTGATTTTAATAATTGTATTGGTAAATGTTAAAATCAACAAACCAAGATTTAGAAGCATTTTTCACTGTTAGTTATCGTTAATGCAGTATGTGTACTATCCCTTTAAACGCTTCTTATATACGAATGATGTATTATTAATTTATAATGGTTTAATAGCAATACTAAAAATTATGGTATTTTGGTTTCCATTGCAAACTAATGAAAAAAAATCCAAACCTTCAGTCACAGCAGCATCGGCTGAAGGCTCTGATGTTTGGCTCATATTTCCAAGGGCTCTTAACAGCTGGAAATTTATAAAGATCCTCAAAAATATGAATAAAAAAAATAATATCAATTAGATATATAGATCAGAAATATTTCGTAAACACACTACACTCATTTAATTTGAACGTGTGTTGGTTTACCTAAGGGATGCAGCTGTACGACACATCTGCATGCATAATATGGCAAACACTAGGACTGTTATGCATTAGCGACTGGAGGCCAGCGCGCGCGACAAAACCCTTTCCGAATAAATACATTGCATGCTTCACGCGCTGAGATGGATAGGGCAGGACGCCACTCTTTTACTGAATTTTGTTCCTCCATGTTGTTAGAGGGACAATCACGCTATTCAATGTCTGCTGTGGTCAAAACATCTTGCATCCTTGCCGCAGCACATTTGATCGCTGCGATTCTACCACAACAAACACTATGTGCACGAGCCCGGATATCGGCGGTACCCAGAAACAAACGCACTTACTTGTATCTCGCGGAGATAAAGATGAAATAAAGCTGATCTGCATATATTTAAGTCCGAAATGAATAGGTTGCAGTGATTAATATGGGACGTCTACAGTGATACGATGCTGCTGAATCAATCAATGTGGCTGTTATTCACGCCCACTTCCGTATTAGAAATAGAGACAAAACGGTGACTTCCGGTATAATTATCTCTATGGTTACTTTCATCATAAAAGTATGTTTTGGAGGATTAAATTATGACTGGTGTTGATCAATACTTTAGTTAGTCCTTTCTCCCCATGTTGCTTTAACAAGGCAGCTGTATAGGGATTACACAGCCGTGATGCAGCATCGGTGCCGCCTTTGCAGTGCAAAGGTGTTGGTTGATATTTAAGCTTTCTTTCATGAGTATCAGAAGGGAATGTGTAAAGTGTAGGGTTCAAACTTGAACACAGCAGTACCTTGTGGTTTTGGTATTTACGTTTCTTTCTTTACTTATTTGACTGTACAGCGCCGCCTCCAAATTCTGCATTTAGACACAATGCGTATTTGCTTCTGTTTAAATTATGCAGCATAGTGATTCATTTTAATGTAAGCATGTAAGTAATTATTTTTGTCACAGTAGGTTATAATGGCACGTACCCGTGTCTTGGTTTGTTTATGACTTTCAAGTCATTTGGCCCAAATTCCATACACGTCACGATTACTGAGAGTGCTTGTAAATCCACTATGCGCTTCACTGAAGCAAGAGCCATAAGAAACACTGTATTGAATGACAAATATTTCTTGTCTAATAAATGGATTGGCTCGAACGGGGCACCTTTCACGGCTTCCAAAACCGTTGAAAGGTCCCACATGGGGACTGAAGGGGGTCTAAGAGGATTCAGCCTCTTAGCTCCCTTAAAGATGAACTGAACTGAAATTTGAGAAAAGGTGATATAACAGATGTATTTTATTTATTCTCATTGGTACAATTTTTAAAATGGCAGAATTTGTTAAAAGGGATAAAATGGTACATTAAAAGTGATGTTTTTGTTACACGGGCGCCGCCATGTTGGATTTCAACGTTCGACTACGTCACTGGCATGGTAAGCCACTCCGTTGCCTACCCGCACCAGCAGAACAGCCGTAGCTTGTAAACAGTCTGAGGCGCGCTGACATGGCTGAGGAAACAGATTTTTTAGCGACACACTATTTAGAGATGTGTACTTTCGTCAATGAGTACATGAAACGTCTGACAATGCATGAAATGTTTTATTTACACAAGTTACAAGTTCAATGCATCACGTTAACGTTACTCGAATCCTTGATATTCGGGTGAGGGGGAAAAGATCCCTGATGTATAGTTCACTGTAAAGGATGGGATTTTCTCCTTCCTAAATGCACCCTCGCCCATAGAGTGAACTGCCAGTACGCTGTTAATCTAAACAATCTGAGAAAAGTGTAACAAGTTAGCCCAGCCGTCACCTATTCGTAAAATACCCTGCTACTTATAGGGCGGTCCAGCGTCTCAACTCGGACATCCATTAGAGTCAGCATAGCCTCCTTCAACACGTTTCTCTCACCGAAATGAACGGTGCATGGTGATGCATTTTTCGCCGATCAATAAATGTTCCATGTTGACCGCCTCTCTGCAACAGATCGTCTCCGTGCAGTGTCTATGCTCCACAGCGCTCGCGCCCACAGTCACTTTCCCCCAAACGATCCTGTACTGCAAGTGAAGCCTGAAACTGATCGTCCTCGATGTGGTGGTAGTTAGACACTACCGGCCTGTCCCTCACGGGCTCAAATGCGTAATCCATGCCGTTAAAAGTGCTCATTTTCGTCTGTGTGTATACAGGACCTACAGCTGTTGTCTATGGCGCTCCGCGGGTCCTACCATGCCAGTGACGTCATCGGAACTGCCAGCACTAACAAGCGCAATTTTGCGTTGCTTAAAAAAGCTATATTAATATATATTTAAATAAAATGTTTAGTGTAATTTACTTTTAATTGTCATAAACAACACGTTTTCAACGTCGATATTTTTCAGTTCAGTTCATCTTTAAGGAAGCGGATGACCAGATCGTTCTTCCCCAGTGACTGGCCAGACACTGGTTTAGTAAACGCTGCTATGGCCGCCACATTAACCTTGAGCGTAAATGGGGTTCTGCTCTTATCCATTTGCTCTTGAAGGAAGGAGAGAACTTCCGTAACCCCACAGTCTAGGGGTGAAAAGGCATAGAGTGGACAGCGGGGCCAAACATTGTCTGACTTAAACACTGTTGTTTTCCTAAGAGGGCTAGGAAGACTTTGAGGCCTTGGGCTTTATCTCAATCTTTTGCCGGGGCCCACGCGGAGGAGGACAGCGGCCGGCAGAGCAAGAGCGTGGTCTTTGGTCCCTGGCTTGATGGCGCTTTGAAGCGGCGGTAGTCGCGAGCTGTGGCTGGGAGCTTTGAGCAGACAGCTGTTTTGGGCGACCTGCTGCGGAGCTAGAGTGCTTTGGCAAGAAGTGCTTCATAGCCTGTGACGTCTTCTGAACCTCAGCGAATCTATCCGAGCAATCTTTGACGGATGATCCAAAGAGGCCTGTGGAGATGGGTGTGTCGAGGAACACGGAGTGCTCAGATAACGCAAAGCCATAGTTGTCCACCGGTGAGAGAAGCCATGTTCCAACCAATGGCCTGTGCACTCGGCAGAGTAAAAGGATATAAACACCGGAAAGCGTAGCAGGTACTGCGACGGAAGGCGGGGAGATGAAGGCCAGAATAATCCAAACTTAAGGATAATTTACTTATTACGAGAGAACTTCTTGTAAGAGAACTCTTTAAAGATGCAATATTATGAAGGCTGTTTCAATCCTATTGAAGTGAATGTTTTGTCCATGGAAATGATGACAGATCAACCGATGAGATAAGGAAAAGCACACCCAGAAACAAGGACCCAATCAGTCCAACCGTGCTTGCCTTGCTGCTGTTTATATCATTTATTAGCCTATTAGTATTATTATTTTGTCAGTTTTAAATCTTCGAGTTCCCATGGAAATGCTTGCTTTACCATTAAAGTGTTTTATAGTGATTACCAAGAAAAAGAAAGCAGTATTTAGCTAGTCATGTGATCACAACATGTCGGCCCCCATAAGGTGACCCACTCAATTTAACATAAAAAAGTCTTTATTAAGCCACGTGATTTGACTGGAGTGTGATTTTTTACACATATTTTTTTTTTAAAGTGCTATTCAATTTCGTATGTAAAACATTATTATTATTTTAAACAGTTTTTAATTATTTTTTTGTTACCATGTTATGTTGGATTTTTTTTTTTTATATAGTAAAAAGTCAGTGTTACCCGCTCCATCCTGTAGGGGGCAGTGATAAATACCGAGTGTACTGCTGCTGTCATTTACAAGGCAGAGAAGTGGGTGTTGACAGTTGTTGACATTGCCCAGAAAGAGCGCTATAAAAGTTCTCAACTGTCACAGTGATATGGCTGTATATTCAACCGCTTCAAATACACGTCTTCAGCCGGACAGTTGAAAATACAGAACCGTCAGATGACTGTGCACTTCGGCTTATTTTGTGGAAGTGATTGTGGGTACGTTATGTTTTTCTGGGTTGGGACAAGACAGCATACGAGGTCAATGATCGCAACGGTTCTCAGAAGTTAACGTTAGACTGTTTGTTTGCTCAATTATTGCTGAAGTTAGCTGTCATTTCACATGTATGTGGGTATTACGCTGATTTATTACTTGCATTTTGATGCATTCATTTTTGAAAAAGTGATTTTTAAGATGTACTTTTTGATGCATGAAGTACTAAATCACTAAGGAAGTGATTGTATTTTGCTTCAAAACAAGAATATCATATGAGTACTGCTAATCAGAATATATTTTTAAACTATGTATTTTGATGGGGTACACATTTGTCCGCTGGAGCCGACACCGTACATTTAAGGTTGTATTGCACACCTGTATATTGACCAGTGGCAACTAGTAAGAAAGAATGTCCTTTATTATAATTAACTTGTAACATTTATTAAGAACATGTAAGCTTACATGCTACATAATTAATTATTATCGATCCTGAATAGAAAAGATTGCAGATTTTATTATCAGTATGAATTCCACACATTTACAACTTTGTGGTAGGGGGCTTTACAACCCCGTACCACAAATGCACGTGTCTTTCTTGTGTACGTGCTGTTTCCTGCATGACCATTTTCTTTGTTTCCACAAAATATAATAATAATAATAAACTTAATTCTATAAAGCGCCTTTAAAAGCAGCTTCTCAAAGCACTGGAGAGTAAGTCTTACAATTACGTACACAATATTGTTTAAACATTTTTATTTTAAAAATATATGTATACATTATTTATACTTATAAACACTGGACATTTTTTTTTTAATTCCAATACTTATACTACTAATAATACTTTATTTTTATGATTATTTTTAAATAATGATTTTAATAGCCACAGTAGCTTAATGGAACCCCACCCCCTTGAAATATCCAAAGATCACATAAAGGCTTTAATGTTGAGAAAATCAGCAAATGAAAAATGTTCTTCACCACTTTTGTTGACATTTAAAATTGGACACTGATATTATAGAATGATGGGAAATTCTTCAGGTAAACAATTGTGGTGGCTTGGATGTATAATATCATAATATCACACCCTGAATTGTCAAAAATGACTTTTAAATAAATGTACATTGTAGTGGACGTCATGTATCATAGGATTTACGTGATGGACCATGCATGACTGACTGATTTCTAGTACACAAAAAAACAAACATTCATATCTTTTCTTCACTCAAGGTTAATAAACATGTCTGTTTTAGGTTATCAGTATGACTCGCGATATCATTCTTGGAGATGAGCTACCTGACTGGATTGGGGCGAAAGAGTTTTATCAGAAGTATGATCCCAAAGAGGTGATTGGCAGGTGAGTATTTTTACTATTCAGCAAGTGTTTTAATGTAATTTATTATGATGTCTTGTGCGTAACTAAACTGTCCCGTGTGCAGAGGTGTGAGCAGTGTGGTGCGCAGATGTGTCCACAAACACACAGGGCAGGAGTTTGCAGTGAAGATCATTGAGATCACTGCAGAGAAAATGAACGAACAGCAGTTAGAGGAGGTGAAGAGCTCCACGCTGAAGGAGATCCATGTACTTACTGTGGTGAAGGGCCACCCATCCATCAGTGAGTCTGTCTGAATGCTACTGATAATGTTTGAAATGATGTGTTCAGCCCTTTCTGAGTAATAACTGACCTTATTTGTGCTTTTTCAGTCACACTTATTGATTCTTATGAGTCAACAACCTTCATATTTTTGGTATTTGACCTGTAAGTATATTATATTATTATTTACAATGAAAAAATTAATCCAAACAAAATTCACACACAACTTTTCGTACAGCATGAGGAGAGGAGAACTATTTGATTACTTGACTGAAAAAGTCACTCTCAGTGAAAAGGAAACCAGGTGATTTTTTTCTTTTTTTTTTCTTTCTCAAATCTTGTTTAAAGTTTCTATGGTTGCATATTTTTTCTTCTCGTACCATATTTTGGTTGCAAATGTTCTTGCTTTTAGGAGTATGATGCGTGCTCTTCTGGAGGCTGTCCAGTATCTACATTCTCGAAATATTGTACATCGTGACCTCAAACCTGAAAACGTGCTGCTAGACGACCAGGGACACATCAAACTTTCGGACTTTGGCTTTTCCGTCCAGCTGGGGCCTAATGAAAAACTAAGAGGTGAGAAAATCAACACTGTCCTTTCACGGTGACAAATCAAAGTGCATTTAACTGAACCACATACATTGTTTAAACACTGGTCTTTGTCAATTTCCCTTGTTAGAGTTGTGTGGAACACCAGGATATCTGGCACCAGAGATTCTGAAGTGCTCCATGGATGAGACACATGAAGGATATGGGAAGGAAGTTGACCTGTGAGTAAATAACACTCATATTCTGCGATTAAATCTTTTTTTGGGGGGGTCAAAAAAGCATTTTGGGTGGTTCATCGTCTGTTCCATGTTTTCCCGCAGGTGGGCTTGTGGTGTGATCCTGTTCACCCTTCTTGCTGGGTCTCCACCATTTTGGCATCGCAAACAGCTGCTGATGCTGAGAATGATTATGGAAGGCCGGTACCAGTTTAGTTCTCCAGAGTGGGATGACCGGTCTGACACCGTCAAAGACTTGGTGAGATGCTTAGCATTGTCTTAAGGCCCGTTCGCACCAAGGACGGTGACTATAAAGATATAGTTCAACAATTTATTCTAAATATAAAAGAATAGCAGAGTCCACACCACAACTATAACAATAACACCATGATTTTGTTGGAATAATATTGACAGTCAATCAGAATCCATCTTGCTTTAAAGAGCTCAAGCATTTAAAGTAGCAGTCAACAAAACTCAGAGTGCACTCACTGCTGGTGTGGATGCTAATATAGTTATATTTATAGTTATTGTTCTTGGTGTGAACTGGCCTTTAGCCTGGAGCATACAGGCTAACTGCTAATATTGAGAAATGTGCCCATGTCTGCATTACACTCTTTGCTTAAAAAGTTGAAATTCCTTTAGATCTCAAGGCTTTTAGTGCTGGAACCCACACTTCGCCTCACGGCCGAGCAAGCTTTAGCTCATCCTTTTTTCCGTCAGTACCAAAAGGAGGATGTGCGGATCTTTAGCCCCCGGAAAACATTTAAGGTGAGATTTTTTTTTTTTTCCTTTATTTTTTTCATTTATGTACACTACCATTTCAAAAGTCTGTTATGCTCACCAAGATTGCAAAAAATACAGTGAAAATTGTAAACACAGTGAAAACAGTAATATTGTGAAATATATATATATATATATATATATATATATATATATACACATGCATTTAAAAATGTATTCCTGTGATGGCAAAGCTGAATTTGCAGCATTACTTCTGTCTTTAGTGTCACATGATCCTTCAGAAATCATTCTAATATGTTGGCTTGCTGCTCAAGAAACGTTTTTATCATTATCAGTGTTGAAATTTTATTTTGAAATTTTATTTTAAGCATTATCATTTATGGGGGGATTCTTTGAATAGTTCAAAAGAACAATATTTATTTGAAATAGAAAGCATTTAGAACATAAATGTCTTTACTGTCACTTTTGATCAATCCTTGTTGAGTTAAAATATTCAATTCTTTCAAACAAAATTACTGACCCCAAACTTTCCAACTGTAGTGTATGTTTATCTTTTTTTTTTTTTGGTTGTAAGGAATTAAAATAAGAGCATTCAGTCTGTCATATTACTATGTAAAAATCATTTCCACTTGTCATTTCAGGTTTTTCTAAATTACAAAGGGGGAAAAAAGAGACTTGGATTGGACAATGGTGTAATTATAATATACAAGTATAATTCCAATTGTGATTCAAACCTGTTCTTTGCATCTTCAGGCCCTGATCTTGACGGTGTTAGCTTGTATACGAATGCACTGCCGCTACTACCGAGCCAGACCATTAACAAAAGAACTCCTAGCAAGAGACCCTTATTCCATCCGCGGTGTGCGCAAGCTCATTGACGGCTGCGCTTTCCGTATATATGGACACTGGGTCAAGAAAGGGGAGCAACAGAATCGAGCTGCTCTGTTCCAGAACACTGCTAAAATCATTGTACTTGGTGTTGAAGACTTTGAAAACTAAAGGTCATGTTTTTCCCGTATGTTCCCTCATCTGTCCATTTACAGTTTGATTGTTGTTGTTTTTTTGTGGTTTTAGCCTGCCTGTCAAAAAGGAACACAAAACACAGCTGTTTGATTCTTATAGATGATTTTCCTTTGTCTTCAAAGAGGGATGGTGCTTTTTGATTTTAACAGAATTTTAACCTCATTTTAACCCCTCGCTGTGGATTTTTATTTTTTAAATGTATGGTTTTATATGGACCAGCTTGATATGAAGAGATACGTTTTTTTTTTTTTTGTGACTAGGATTTACAATTGATAAGATTGGACAAAGCTTGTTTCCTAGTCAAGCTCTTTAGCCTTTTTCTGTTATTGACACAAAGCAGATTGTATTTGAATTTATTAATACTGTTATGCTTTGACAACAATTCCAGGTTGTTGAGGCCTAAACCATAGATGAACAGGGAACATTTAACAGGATTTTAAGACTTTCCATACAAAGGATAACATACTTGAAACATCACATTACTACTGAGAGTTGTTTTAAAATCCTTACAAAATTGTTTGTACAGGTTTTATTACTTTTTAACCTCTACATATGTTTTACCACTTTCTTTTTATTACAGTTGACTAGACGTTATTCATTCATCATCAAGGTACTGTATTAAATCTAAACAAGTATACATATATGAATTATATAATTACTGTATTTTATATGTTTTTACTTTTGAAATGAGTGGTTTCAAAACTAAACTAAACATGTGAAACATATTTTCTTACTACTTAACTTGAATCTTGGCCTCCAGTTTACTAATGATATCATTAAGTTGATCAGCACTGTCCTGCAGACGTTTTTGTAGCTGATCAGTCAAGCGCATCACTTCATCCCTCACTTCTTTTTGAACTATGGACCTAAGTTCAGACTTTGAAGACCCTTGTGGAAAAAAAAATCACACATAAACATATTTTTATTTTATTTTTGGTATGCAGTATTACATATTAGAGCATGCAGTCTGGTATAAATATGTAATCCCTATTTAAACTTTTTTTTTCCCAAAAAAATAATTAGGTGTACAAAGGGCACAAAGGTATAATTCCACTGAAACATTTAAATGTTGCCTTTAAAAAAAAACTATTTTATATAAACAAATAATAACTAAAATATTACCTTATGACGAAATGAACATTGAGATTTAGAAAAGCTTTATAAGGGTTTTTCGCTGTTCACCTTAATTAATATACTTAACTAATGTTAACAAATGGAACATTATTGCAAAGTGTTATCTAATCATTTGTCAAGTGGGAGGAGAAATGGATAAACTTATACACTGATTTGTAACAGAAATATATATTTAGAGCATATGCCTTATTTATGCGTGGTGGTTTGTTTTTTGAGTTGCATTATGTACTTAAGAAATTAAATTAAACCAGTTGAATTAAAATATACTAGAATATGTAACTACCTTGGTTGGGACTGTCTGTCTCTGTGGTCTTCATTTCTGGTAGTGCATCATTTTGTTGAACTTCTCCATCCATTTCTGTCTCCCTCTCAGTTTCTTTTTCTCCATCTGGAGTACTTTCTTTAAACAACAAATGACAGATATACTTTCAAATATCAGTTGTATGTATATATACGAGAGAGAGAGAGAGAGAGAGAGAGAGAGAGAGAGAGAGAGAGAGAGAGAGAGAGATGTGTGTGTTGTTTTATTAGGTACCAAATTGGGCAGTTTCCTCTATATTGGCGTCCTCCTCAGGTATTCCAATATATGACACGGATATATCCAACTGTACCTTGCCGTGCAAGAGGAAAAGGTCATAAAGTTAATTGCTTTGTCAACAGAATTTAGAATTTAGTACTACTATACAGTATCTGGCCTGACAAATCCATAAACTCACCTCTGGAGTAAAAATGTATTTGTATAAAAAATAATGTCTCATATATGTGTTGATGAAATAGTTTAAAATTTGTGTCATTTGCTCCGAGCTGAAAAGGTCGATACTGAAAGGAGGCCTCTGTGTTTAAAAAGGGAAAGAACAAAAGAGGTTTGAGCACAAAAAAGTTTGTTATCTTCCCAACAGTTATTATTTCACAGCCGATATATGATTACACTACTGTTCAAAATGTGTGGTTATGTTCACCAGGGCTAAAGTTATTTGATTAAAATACAGTACAAAATTAAATGACAGTTTTCACTGTTTACATTTTAAATGCAATTTTTCCTATGATGGCAAAGCTGCATTTTCAGCATCATTACGCAAGTCTTCAGTGTCACATGCAGAGGTGGACAAAGTATACTTCCTTACTTGAGTGAAAATTCAAATTCTACTGCTCAAATCTTACTTTGTTACAAGTAAAAGTACAGAGTACTCATTTTTAAAAGTACTTCAGTAGCTATCAGAAAGTAAATGTCAATGCATTGTTTTATTATTTTTTTTATGTTGGAATAAGTACAGTACCAAAGTAAATATACTTTGTTAATGTCCACCTCTAGTCACATGATCCTTCCGAATTCCTTCTGATATTCTGATTTGCAGACATCTTTTTTATTATCAATGATCACAATGATTATCAATCGTTGTGCTTAATATTTTTGTGGAAATACATTGATACATTTTTTGTAACATAAATGTTTTTACTGTCACTTTTGGTTATTTGATGACTGAATAAAAGTTGACCGAATTAAATTCTTAGATTGACTTCTACCAAAAAATTAAATCTTACTGACCCCAAACCTTTGAATGCTATATTGTATTTACATACCCTGACTGAATGGCAAAGCAGAAGTTCACTGCAGTAGGACAAACAGTGATCTGTGTTATCCAGGGGTGTTTCTGAAAATGTTTTACAATACTGTTTTAATAAAGTATGAGAATATTATCTTGTACAAAATGATAAAGATATTGTTAATTCTACAATAACATGATTACTATGGCTGCATCACCTGTGTTGAACTGATGAACGTTTTTTATAATGGAGATGAGAACAGAAGTTTGTTCCCTGTTGAAATTTCTCTCTCTACAGAACAGCACTAGATTTGTATACAACTCAAGAAGTACTCCCTGTTTTGGCTGAGGCACAGAGACCAATAACGCATGGGACAAAATCCTAGAGGGGAAGCAAACATTGCATTCACGTAAGATTAAGCAATGTTATCAATTATAATTAGCATCATTCCTGTTAACACCTTCTGTAATTGAGGGTAGATTTTCCATAAAAATGTATTGGTCTATCTCAGGCATTTAAATATATTAATTGTAGCTTGGTTATTTACAAAATGGCAGGAAAATTAGCAGGTTGCCTAACAAGATAAAAGAGGTAAAGCCACTGTTCAGCGATGGACATAAAGATAGTTTAGCCTACATGAAGGTATCACCTTGAAGTTAATCTTGATATTTTTAACTATTATATTTTATAATGTCACACTAATTTATGTAATAGTATAACATGACTAACTGTTTAAAATCAAATAATGCTCTAGACGTTATTCACTTTGATGTTTAATGGGAATGAAAGCGAGGCTGTGACTGAGGGATTGACATGCATCTTGTCAGTGGGTTGTAGCCCTGTTGTAGGCCGCCTACTATAATTTTGTGTTTTTGGATTGTTCTGCTGACGAAACCCAGTAAAATATTTTAACAAGAAATTTCAGAAGGCAAAAAACTCCAAACAACAAAATTATAAGCGATCTAAGAGCTTTATTCAGCGTAAAACATTAGTATGCCAAATTGAAAACACGGTAAGTTCCCTTTCGAACGGTCACTTCGTATTGCGTAGCAATGTGCAGTGGGGAAACTCCTTTTCCTCAATTTACTGAAGCCTACATGTAAAATGCATTTGAAACTGCACAGCTACCACACTGTGTCTGGCATGCTCATAGGCTGTGCTAAACAACTGCACATCCAATGGCGCGGGCGACTCTGGTGTCGACCAAAAAGTTGGCCCAACGTCAGAGCCCACCGAGGGTCCGTGACCTAGTCTATAAAGACCCCTGAATTCGCCATTATAGCAGATTTTTACTCAGCAACAGTACACATGTCCCTGAGCTTTCTACTGTTTATTCGCTGTTTACAGCCCCGCCCTGCGGCTGATAGCCACCGCCAGTCAAGGCCGACTCCAGAGTCATTCTCAAATCCAGGCATGGTTACGTACCCAAGGTGCTCTCAATGCTGTTTATAGCACAAGTTATTAGGCTATTGGCTTTCCCCCCCTTCTGCCGAGGATGGGGAGGTTAATCTTCACGGCCCTGTCAGGGCACTGAGAATCTATCTGAAGCGTTCTACGTCTTTTAGACAGTCAAAACAGCTGTTTGTCTGCTTTGATGTTCGATCTAAGGGTGATCCAGTCACTAAGCAAAGACTGTCTAGAATGGATAGTGGATGCCATTTCTATAGCCTATACCTCAGTGGGTCAGGTTTGCCTTATAGGTGTCAAGGCCCATTCGACCAGAGGCATGGCCTCGTCATGGGCTTGACCATCTGGTTTCCCCATTCAAGATATTTGTGATGTGGCCGGTTGGTCCCCGCCTTCCACATTTATGAATTTTTTAAATATGGAAGTGCCTTCCCTGCAGGCAAAGATACTTTCGGTATGATTAAGACCCGATGTGGTCTGGTCTTGCAACAAAAATTAAGTGTGCATAATCACATGGAGCTATGCAATACGAAGTGACCGTTTGAAAGGGAACTACTCGGTTACTATCGTAACCTCAGTTCCCTGAGAGAGGGAGCGAGTATTGCGTAGCTGGCCGGCGGCCGCACTATAATAATTGGTGAAGTAGTTGCTTCAGTCACATAAACCTGCCATAATGGGCGAATTTGGGGGTCTATATAGGCTAGGCCACGCCCCCTCGGTGGGTTCTGACGTTGGGCTAGCTCACATCCTATGAGCATACCAGCCACTCAGTGTGCTAGCTAGCTGCAAATGGGTTTTATATAAATATATAGCTATGCAATATAGCTATGCAATACTCGTTTGCTCTATCAGGGAACTGAGGTTACAATAGTAAGTAACCGAGTAGTTTATCCCTCACAGCCTCGCTTTCATACTTGGCATAGCGCTGCTATGAATAAGGTCTATACAAATTATTATAATATACCTGTGTTAAGTTATATTTATTTGTAATATAAATGTAAACCTTTTAATCTCAGGTATGGAATTGGTCTTCTCAAGCTCTTCCATATCACTATGTTTCAGATCGGCCCTAGAAATGCAGTCAACAACAATAATTATTGAGGATGTTTGAGAATCCATAATGCATTGTGGGAACAAACATTACCATAACAACACCCGTGCACTTGGAGGCTGGGGCTCCTAGAAATGATTACAAATGTAACGTTACACGTTTAAATATTTGGGGGAAATCACAAGTTATTCCTGATCTCTAGATTCCATGAAAATTATAGCTTTTACCTTAATGTTCTCAAAAGGCTTCATTTCTCCCCTCGGACAGCCTCTGAAAACGGCTATTCTAAACCACATGTGTATGCGTTACATTGTATCCTAGCAACTACATTTTTTCTTCTGTAAAAAACCCACTAACCACCAACCACTGACCAGTATCCAACTTAAAAGCCACGAAAACTTCACATGAGGAGAGACGTTATTATTTTTAATATGACATTGAGACGATCAGAAATAGGAAACAAATGTAAATATTGTTTTAATTACACGTGTTTTAAACAAATCAATGAAAAAAATATTAAGAGCAACATTTAAGAACTTTTATTTTCACCCTGCGATGTAGAGGAAGTGACGTAATGTATCAGACTTGCACGAAAGAGACCACAACCATACGTTGTTCAAATAGCTCATTTCGAGCAAATACGTCTGTGATCACAACAAATGTCAAAAAAGGTATGAGTGCTACTAAAAGTGTTTTACACATATGTTAGGGTCTGTCTAGTCCAGCTAACTTTTATTTTGATAGACCTAATTTTGTCCTGTGGTGTCAGAGTTCACATATCTAACGTTACAGTTCTTCCTGTTTTCCGGTCGGAGCGGAGGTTTGTTTCTGGTTGCAAAAAAGTCACTAACACAAATCTATTTTAATACACATTTTTAACCGCGGAGTACCTAAAACGTTGTATTATGACGTGCGACATATAGTTATAACATAATGCTATTTATAATGTAAAAAAGACCCATGTTTTTGACCGTTGTGTCTCGCTTGCTAGGCTTTAGCTAGCATCGAAGCTCAAAGCGCCACTGTCTGTTGCTTTAAATTAATTGAGGAAAAATGTTTTACTGCATAAATATGTGCCCTGCGTAATAAGATTATAATATCTTCTTTATAGTTTGTTTCATTATGAAATAATCCAAAAATATTAATTAGAGCGAAGACGTTTGCCGTGTTAACCAGCATATAATAGAAAATCTCAAAACAGTTAATTACATCACTAGTGTTTCAGCTTCAATCTTCTTATTGTTATCGTTAAATAATATATTTTATTTTTAGGCCAGATAGAAAAGACCTATGCTAAATCAATGCTTTAACAGTGGTATTTGTTTGATATTGTCATTACTAATATAGCTGTCATGGAACTATACAATGCATAATTGCATTGTATAATGCAATTTAGTTAAAGTGATATTTCACTCAAAATTAAAATTAAAAATTAAAAACAAAATATCAATCTCTTCCTCACCATTATGTTCAAATACGTATGACTTTCTGTTTTTCTTTAGAACACAAAAGGAGACGTTATGCAGATTATTTTAGGAGTGACAGCCATCATTCACTTGTAATCGCATCTTTGTTTTTCCCCATACAATGAAAGCGAATGATAACTGAGATTGGCTCTTAAATTTGCATCTGCTGTAGTTCTGAATAATATAATAATAGTTTATCTAACACTGAATTTTGTAGGGAAGCATGTCTGGCACAGGGGGTGGGAAGCGACCCTCAGGAGGGGATAGTCCTCCTGGCGCACCTGAAAAAAAGATGAAGAAAGAGGAGAAGACTACCACCACACTCATTGAGCCCATCCGCATTGGAGGAGTTTCTTCTACGGTATGTTTCATGTACCAAAACAAAATGCATTGTAGCTTTTTGGGAGCAGTCTTGCAATATACAATATTTTGTGTTTTTTTAACATAGACATATTAAAAACAATCAATTTTGGCTGTAACAATACACTCATTTGATGTGACAATTTGATGCAACTCACAACACTGAACTCATGACACGATATTATTGTGATACTTTAAATGAAAATAAAGAGTTTTTATCATCATTATCATTATTATTATTACTTCTAAAACATATGGTAAAAAAAAAGTTCCAAAACCTTTTTTTTTTTTTTTTTACTGAATTTGGTATTTAATCAAGATTTGACTAGGATTAGACTTTTGGACCAGGCAATTATGGTGACAACAGAATAAAAATATTCATGATTCTGAAGCTAATAGTCTCTCCATCCCACTTAAATTATAAGAATAAACTATCTAAAAGTCATCATACTACAAAAACTGATGATTAAATGATGTTTGTGCTTTCACTTTGAGGAGTGGCGCTCCAACACATATACTTCAGATGATCAATGATATCAATCACAGTTCTAATCGCAAAGCATGTCAAATGACTATTCCCCAATTCAAATTGTTTCTTAATTTACTCGCCCTCATGTCATTCTCAAGCACAAGTATGCAAGTGTTATAACATAATATTTTTATCGAAACCATGATACTGTTTTTTTTTTTCAGGGTTCTTTGATGAGTAGAAGGAACAGCATTTATTTGAAATAGAAATATTTGAATCTTTTGTAAAATTGCAATTGTCTTGACTGTCACTTTTGATCAATGCATCCTTCCTGAATAAAAGTCTGACCCAATACTTTTGATTTGTAGAGTTTTAAACATTCTGTCATAACCCCCAAATATTTTTGTGCAGGAGGAGATGGACATGAAGGTCATTCAGTTCAAGAACAAGAAGCTCTGCGAACGCCTTGAACAGAGGCAGGCTTTGGAGGATGAGTTGAGGGAGAAGATTGAGAAACTGGAGAAGAGGCAGGCCACTGATGACACCACCCTGCTTATCGTCAACCGCTGCTGGACTCAGGTTCACCACTCTTCTTTTCTTCCAATGCTATACAATGACAATAACAATACTGCTTTAGCACATAAAAAATAAGTAGCAAAACATGAAGGAATCAAATTATACACTACTTATTTGACATAATATTATAACAGATAATAGTAGTATTGTAAGGACTTATTTGAACTCTGTTTTCACAGCTTGAGGAAAATATCCATGAATTGCTGCAGCATGTAGAACCTAAGGATGCCCCAGCTCCTGTCCAGACCCCTACCTCCCCTCCTGTTCCGACAGACGCCCCAGTTCCTGCTGTAGCCCCATCACCTGCTCCTGAACCTTCTGCTCCTTTGCCGGCTCCAATGGAAGTGGATGATGGCCTCCCCCGGCCGCCTCCTGAGGGGGTGGAAGAACCACCACTACCAGTGCAAGAAAAGGAACAGACACAGGAGCAAGAGAAGCAACAGCAGCCTGACTCTGAGGAGAAACTGACTGATGTACCAGTGAAGGATGCAATTCCCGGTAAATATACTGAGTTAGACTCCGATGCCATTTGCACAATATTTAAAATAAAGCGTTTATTCATAGTTTATACTGGTGTTGTAGTACTCGAGTCCGGTCTTGGTCTCGAGACTATTTGTTTTGAAGTTCTCGGTCTTGACCACATTTGTACTTGGTCTCAGACTAAGAGGACTTGAGATTTTATCTCAAGACTGATCAGACCCACAACTATGGGGATATCACTAAATTACCGGTGCATTGTATGATTTATTTGTTAACATCATTAATGCGATTGGATGTAAAACTTCCTGCTTGAAATGCAGCCAGTAACTTTATATTTCTTAAAAATGTCTATTTTGATTTATTTGGTTACTGTTGTGCCTGTTCAGAAATCAATGAGGGATTATGTAAAATATGTTATCACAAGAGCAAGTGAGTTATTTTCACAAATGAGCATGATTGCTAACAAATCCATAGTAGAGCTGTTGCATTTTCAAGCAACATACATCTGTGTTTCTTTACTGAATGAAACGGCTGCTTCGAAAAAGTCGCTTGAATAATGATTCCGTGACTCATTATGTGATTTGCTGCCACCTACTGGCAGTTTCATATTTAAAAGTATAATTTTATTTTTCCATCATGTTTTTATTCAAAAGCTTATTTTTAAAACATTAATCTCATCATTATCTATGCAGTTGTAATTGTACCAGTTCAGATGCAAACTTCTTTTTATTCTTACTGTATGTATTGCATAACTATAATACATTTGTCAAGCAGTAAATGTGGACCTTTATGATTTTATGATTTTTTTTATGAATTTACACTGTCTCACTCTGTCTTGGTTTGGTCTCGACTCTCGACACACGGTGGTCTTGATTGGTTTATGTGGTCTTTTCTACAACATTAGTTTGGTGTCCACCTGAGTTGGTGTCATTTGCCACTGGTGCTTTTTCAATGATGTACGACTCGCATTGATCGTAATATCTGATCTGGCAGCTTATATGGCAGACGTTTATAAGGCAATTCATATCAGATTTATTTCTACATATGAATGAGGCCTAAAACCAATCTGAGAATATCAGAATCCATGTGCTTTTTTGCCCATTCAAAGGCCTCGTTCAAACCAAAAACGATCACTATATTATCGTCCACACGAGCTGACAATGTCATTCTGTTTATTCTAAGCGTGTGCTTGTCTACCACTTTAAAAGCTTGAGCTTGTTACACCAGGATGGATTCTGATTGGCTGTCAATGTTTTTAACATTCATCAGCTGAAAAAAAAAATCGTCCTGAAAGTGGTTCCAACGATATAGTTTCTCTGTGCCGTTATTGTAAACTCTCCTGTTCTTTAATATAGAGAACGATTTTTAGAACTATATCTTTATTGTTATCTTTATAGTTATCTTGGTGTGCACGGACCTTTACACATTTGTAGGTCGCTTGAACCATGTAATGTAAATGCGGCTATTGATTTACATTTCAATCGGTCATTTCATTTTTTTTTTTGACCATACAAATAACAGCAAATGCACCAATTTGCATATTTTTCGCTCAGTTTTAGCCACTTGGTGAATTTAGATGCTATTTTCTTGTGTGTGCTTCATATTCTAATAATATAAAACTTTATAAGCCATAAAAGCCTGATGTTTCAAAATAAATACTCAAGGTACTCAGAGTCAGACCATAAACAAAACATGAAACAATAATGTATCTAGTGTCTATTAGTCACATATTGCAGATTTACTATTTACATTCATATTGTATTTGATCTGTTTTGTAGCCCCTCCACCTCCACCTCCTCTCAGTGTGAGCGCAAAGGCTTTTCTGGCAACTCTGGATAACTGCAGTGAGGAGGAGCTGACACTGCAGCTACAGGACAGGATGCAGTTCAGCAAGGGTGCTGTGGCCTGCATGGTCTGCATCTTTGACCGCCTGCATAGCAGCATTGACGAGCTGTGTACTAGAGTGGAGTCAGCTGGTAAAATTAAATTAATTTGCTGTGATTTTTAAAGCACAAAATTATTATTTACAAAAAAAAAGTATTCAAAAGAACTTAGTTTGATCACTCTTTGAACAAACACCTAACTATCACTCTTGCATTTTACGTTCTAATCAGTTTGTGAAGATGACAGTCAGCGAGAGATAATTGCCACAAACCACACACTTCTAGAGGAAAATATTCGACTGCAAGACCTTGCTTCCTCCCTTCAAGGGAAACACCACAAAATGTCATTAGAGGTATATGTTAGCCTAGTTTTTTACTAAGTTATACACTACCATTGAAAGGTCTGGGGTCTGTAAGATTTTTTATTTTTTTTAAATGAATTAAAACTATTATTTCAGCAAGGAAGCTTACATTTAGCATATTATATATATATATATATATATATATATATATATATATATAAAACATTCATCAAAGAATCATGAAAAAAATATCTTGGTTTCCACAAAAATATTACGCAAAACAACCAAATCAGCACCAATCAGGTTTCTGAAAGATCATTTGACCCTAAGAATGGTTGATGAAAATACAGTAATGTGTGCTGAAAATGAAAGTAATAATATTTCTGTTCTTACTGTAATACTAAAATCTTACCAGCCCCAAACCTTTTAACAGTATTGTATGTGATATGTGTCTTGCACCCTTAGCTGTCCTTAAAACCAGTCTTTGCTTCCACAGTATAATGAACTGGTTGACAAAGTTACGAGTTCTGAGACTAAAGTGTCTGAAATGGAAACGGCTGTGGAGGACCTGCAGTGGGACATTGAAAAACTCCGCAAGAGAGAGCAGAAGCTGAATAAACACCTAGCAGAAGCTCTGGAGCAGGTCAGCTTTCCCTTCATCTCAGAAAATCACGGTTTTACCCTGTTTAATGCTAAGCAGTTTATTTAACTTGAAACTAAGTTTTCAGGTTTTGCTATATATTTATTTGCCATTGTTGATCCTTCATAGTAATTAATATATTATTTGCTGTGTGCTCCTCTAGCAGTACTTCCTGTGAGAAAGGAAGACTACTTTTCTTGTTGCGTCATTTACAGAAAACACAGTTTAGTGTGACTAGCAATACGATTGCCATTTATTAATTTCTTGACTACATGTTTTGTGCCCCCCCCCAAATTAGCTTAATTCCGGTTACCATGCAACTGGCAGTTCTGGTGGGTTACCAGGTGGTCAAATCACACTCAGTATACAGAAGGTAACAGTGTTACTTATAAACTACTGTATTAATAAAGCATATAATGTAAATCCATTTAGAAATGTGGCTTTTTTCTTATAATTTTAAAGTTTTTATAACTTTGTCATTTTTATTGTTTTATATTTCTATTCAATGTTTTTTATTTCAGTAAAATTGACATTTTATTTTAATTTATTTCCACTTTATTTCAGTTGTCTAAAATTATTTATTTTAGTTTTAGTTAAGCATAACAAACACTTGTGTGAATATATCACTACAAAATGTATCAATTAGAATGATGTAGACCTAATTCCAATCTGTGATTTGTCTGACGAGTATTTCTCCACTACTAGTTTGAATCTCTGAATGCCGAGTTAGAGCAAAACCAGGAACTTGCTAACAGCCGCATGGCAGAGCTTGAGAAACTTCAGCAAGAATTACAAGAAGCTGTCCGGGAGAGCGAGAAACTAAAGGTTCAATGAGAGTTCAATGAGAGGTCAAAAAATAAATGTATTTTTTACTGACTGGTATTACTGACCTCCACATCTCTTTGCAGATGGATTTGAGGAATATACCAGAGGAAGTGTTGAAGGAGACGCCAGAGTACAAGTGCCTCCAATCACAGTTCTCTCTGCTGTACAATGAGTCTCTGAGTGTGAAGACCCAGCTGGATGAAGCCAGAGCTCTGCTGCTCACAGCCAAAAACGCACACCTGCGGCAGATAGAGCACATGGAGGTGAGAGGGATGATTGGACAGAAACGATTGCCGGTAGTCATATCTGAGCATGTTTTTTTATGATTGTTTGAATGTCATTCTCTCTGCTTGTAGAGTGACGAGTTGTCTCTTCAGAAGAAGTTACGCACTGAGGTCATCCAGCTTGAGGACACGCTGGCCCAGGTGCGCAAGGAGTATGAAATGCTACGGATAGAGTTTGAACAGAATCTTGCTGCCAATGAGCAAGCAGGTAACGTCACTCATACATAGTGGTGCACGATATATCGGCCGGTACAGTCAATTTTATACACATCGGTATCGTTCCGATGTCAAAATAGAGCTGATGTGAACTGGCTGATAATCATTCCTATGTATTTGACGTGTGTGTAGATGTGAGTATGGGGGCGGGGATGTTTTTTTTTTGCACGAGCGTATACTTTCAATTTAAACATCAGTAAACAAAAAAAATCTATCTAGTGATGAAATGTTTTCTGTGTTGAGACAAATCTTGTGCGATATCCTAAACTGCCTGGATAATCACACAACGTGTGCCGTGGTCCATTAATGACATGTCCTATTTGCGAACCAATGACTCCTTTGAACCGATTCACTTTAATGAATGGTTAAAACAACTGATCTGTCCAACACTGAACTCACGAGACAAATCGGAAACACTTTACAATAAGGTTCCATTTATTAAAGTCCAGTTAACTACATTAGTTAACATTCTATCAATATTAGTTTCTCTGCGGATTTACTCCATGACAAAACCACCCCAGTCATATTAGAATGATTCTTTCAAAAAAGAGCTATTCAAGTCGTCTGGTGAAATTGTTTTTATATCGCAATATATATTGCAGAAAAATAAAATTAACATCGGCAAATATCGGTATCAGCATAACAGCAATATTAATGTCGGTTATTGCTATCGACCGCAATTTTTACATCGGTGCATCACTACTCATACTAGTAATATGATTTTATTATTTTCGGTTGTCATGCCATGCGGGTGAGGTGGGATTCCTTAGTGGTGAATTTCCCAAAGCCCATTTGTTTTACAGTAACCATGACTTCAAGAGGAAGTCTGTGGGGGTTGTGTATCCTGTCATCACTTCTCTGATTGTTCAGTTTTGGCTGATGTTCATTTTTTATCTAAGCATCATAAACCGAGACGTCTGTAATTGTATTCGAATGACTATCAGCATTAACATCTCTCTTCTTTTTCTTTTTCTTTTCTTTCAGGCCCAATAAACAGAGAAATGAGACACTTAATCAGCAGTTTGCAGAACCATAATCATCAGCTGAAAGGAGATGTGCAGAGATATAAGAGGAAACTACGTGAGACACAGATGGAAATAAACAAGGTATTTCTCATGCTGGTCTTCGTTGACAGCTTTCCCACAATCACAGAATATTCAGTTGGAAACATTCAATTACAAATTTTAATATTATTATATAAATATTATTATAAATATTTTATGTATATACTGTACACAGTACTGTAGAACAATAGACAATGAGAAAGTCACTCTTTGCAACTTTTTTTATAACTAATTGTAAGCATTACTCTGTATTTATTTTTACAATGAAGACTATTCAGTGTTATTTAATTTATACATTTGATTGCTTTCATTTCTATAATAATAATAATAATTCATTACATTTATATAGCGCTTTTCTCGGCACTCAAAGCGCTTTACATAGAGAGGGCAATCTCCTCAACCACCACTAGTTTTGCTGTAGTATTTCTTACCCAAATACTACTACTAAATACTAGATTTGCATGAAAAACTTTAAATAGTGTTTATTTATTTTTTCGATTGTACTTATTTGTGCCATTGTTTGTAATTTGTTCTTATTTTATTACTGACTGTTAACTTTACTGTCTTTTTTTGTTAATTTAGTAGATTGTTTAAAATAAAGCCCAAATTATCAAATTACCATATTTATCAAAGCCCAATCTTCACCCTTTATTCAAATATATTATCACAGATTTTGTAAGAATATTGCATAGTTGTGAAGTCAATAGTTGTTGTTTTTTGTGATATCAAAAATAATTTATGAATACATGTAAAAACAAACAAGAGAACCACCAAGTGTGTGTGTATTTATTATTATTATGTTTTATTTTTGTATTATAAATTACTGAGGCAGCGTTGAACTCCCAACAATAAAGCATTAGTTTACTAATATACCATTCAGTGCAATGTGAGCTGTTACTTTCCACTAAGTAATTTAATTTTTACTAAATAAAAAATGTTCTCTGTAAAATGTCATAATTGTTGTTTTTCAGTTGAAGTGCCAGAGTGGAGATGCAAGTGCGCTGATGTTGGAAGAAAGCGTGGGTGATGGAGGACTGGAGGTAAAGAAAGAGGAAGATGAGGACCAGGAGGAGGAAGAAGAGAGAAGGAGAGAGCTGGAAAGGCAACGTGCACGGGAGAGAGAGAGGGAGGCGGAGAGAGAGAGGGAGCGAGAAAGAGAGCGGGAGAGACAGCGCAGTGACGAGCTGAAGAGGAAGGACTCTGATGCGCTGAAGATGCTGAGAGGAGAGCTCAAGTACATCTTTCAGCCTTAATTATGATTCTCAATACTGCTTGATTTAATATTTTCTACAATTTTATCAATTATGCTGGATATAAATGGACAATCATAATTAATATACAGTGGCCTCCAAAAGTATTTGGTCTTACCTAAAAATTCATTGCATTACATAACATAAAATCAATGCAAGTCACACACACACATGCTCTTTTTTATTATAAATAATTAATAATAAAACATGCATTTAAAATGACGACACTTTTCTTATTATTGTCTAATAATTTAATATTGTCTTGTAAATGCTATTATATAGCATGTAATAAACTTCAGATCTGTCACCTTACCCGCATATCATGTGCGTCACACCAACAGAAAAGCTCAGGAGTCTCAGAAGGAAATGAAACTACTGCTAGACATGTACAAATCAGCCCCAAAGGAGCAGCGAGATAAAGTGCAACTCATGGCTGCAGAAAAGAAGTCCAAAGCAGAGGTATGTGAAGCCTTCTGTGAGTTCTGTGACCACTTGGGGTGGTCCTTCTCTTAATGCTAAAATCAACATTGTCTGGCAGGTGGAGGAGTTGAGGCAGCGAGTGCGGGAACTCGAGGAGAGGGAAAGAAAAGAAAGCAAGAAACTGGCAGATGAAGATGCCCTCCGCAAGATCCGTGTGGCCGAGGAGACCATCGAACACTTGCAGAAGAAACTGGCTGCTACTAAACAGGTGGTGTGTCTAGTTGGTAAACCTAGTTATTGTAAACAATTGTGTTATAATCTTTCCATTTCAACAAGCTCTTTAGCTTTTGAAGTTAGTGCTCTGACAGTCCCCGTGTGGACCTTTCAGGAGGAAGAGGCTCTGCTGAGTGAGATGGATGTGACGGGTCAGGCTTTTGAAGACATGCAGGAGCAGAACAGCAGGCTCATGCAGCAGCTCCGAGAGAAAGATGATGCCAACTTTAAACTAATGAGTGAGAGAATTAAATCCAACCAGATTTACAAGCTTCTGCGGGAGGAAAAAGAGGAACTGGCGGACCAAGTGCTCACATTCAAAACCCAGGTGTGCAAGAAAAAAAATAATTTCTTCATTTAAACCCCATGCATCCAGGAAAGAATTTAAACAAACATGTTCTTATAATCTACTAGTTGGTGGGTTTTATGAAAAACTAGTCTACTACTAGCTGTTTGCCGTTCTTATGAATAGCTGTAGAGAGCACGACAGATGCCTCAACTTTTTTTAAATTTGCAATATTTTTTATCTCAATGTTCCTTTTTGCTCAAAAATACACAAATCTTTCCTTCAAAAATATCCTTAGTGTTATCCTGTTTGAAGTACTGCCAGTAAAAAAATTAAGGAAAAATCTAGATAAACTAATTGACTAGTTGGTTTATAGACAACTAGTCGGCCCATCCCTCCTAGAATGAAAGCTAAAATTGATGGGCCTTTCCATTTTTGAGGTTGCAAATCTGCACGTAATTTGTTTAATAACTTCTGTTTTTGCAATCACAATGTAGTTGTGTCATCTACTCTTTTTACTGCCCTTCCCAGGTGGACGCTCAGCTGCTGGTAGTGCAGAAACTAGAAGAGAAGGAAGGTGTCCTGCAGAGCACACTGGCTGCTCTGGAGAAAGAGTTGGCGCTGCGCACTCAAGCACTGGAGCTCAACAAGCGCAAGGTAAAACCGGAAAGATCACAGACACCCACCTCTGTTCTGATGTCCTTGACAACCATGACTCAGCTTAGCCAACCATTAGCATGTATTTCCAGATGTGTGTTTAATGCTGCTTTTTCTGCACAATGGCTCAGGCGGTGGAGGCGGCCCAGTTGGCCGAGGACCTTAAAGTGCAGCTGGAACACACTCAGACCAAGTTGAGGGAAATCCAAGCCTCCGTATTAGACAACCGCTCTGCCCGTGAAAGGGAGAGTGCCAACCTCAAGAGAGCACAGGTACAGGGGCACGTGTGTTGTAGATATGTTTCAGGGATACAAATGAGTGGGAACAGTGTGTGTAACTCTTCTACTATGCTGTTTGTTTTTTCAGGAGGACTTGTCCAGGCTGCGGCGTAAGCTGGAGAAACAGAAGAAAGTTGAAGTGTACACAGATGCTGATGAGATTCTGCAAGAAGAAATTAATCAGTATAAGGTGAGGATTGGCTTTTCAAAGATTCTTTTTATGAAGACAACCAGTCAAACATAAACTAGTGCCCTCAACTTGTTATTTTACTGCGGTCAGTGGGATTCTCTTTTATTCAGCAAGGATGCATTAAATTGATCAAAAGTGACAGCAAAGACATTTGTAATATTGCTGAATACTGTTTTCAACATTGTTAAAAAAAATTGGTCATGAAGAAAAAGGATCATGTCACACTAAATGTGTAATGGCTGCTGTAAATTCACAGGAATACATTTCTTTTTTTTTTAATGAATGAAAACAGTTATTCAAAATTGTGATATTTCACAATATTACTGTTTTTACTATTATTTTGAGCAAATAAATGCATCCTTGGGAAAGTGAGACTTTCCAAAACAAACAAAAAAATATCATACCAATCCCAAACATTGAACAGTAGTGAATATAATATTTATTAATTTAATATATAAATTAAAAGATCATATATATATATTTTTAATTTGCATTATTTTTCTTAATGCCTGGTCACCCCATCATTATGCTAGTGATTTTTATATATGAAGAGTTCAGATGCAAAAGCCTCTAAATGCCATTTGAAATTTTCTTCTTTAATGATGATTTTTTTCAAACTTGTATATTTAAGTTCAGTAATTTCACTTAAATAACAATTAATAGGTAATTATCATTGCCATTTAAGTGAAATTACTGAACTTAAATATACAAGTTTGATCAAAATCATCATTAAAGAAGAAAATTTCAAATGGCATTTAGAGGCTTTTGCATCTGAACTCTTCATATATATATATATATATATATATATATATATATAGAGATAGATAGATAGATAGATAGATAGATATAGATATAGGTATATATATATATATATATATATATATATATATATATATATATATATTAGTGCTGTCAAACGATTAAAATATTTAATTGAGTGTGTGTGTATGTAAATATGTATGTGTGTATGTATAAATATATCATAAAATATATAATATTATAATATTTATTTTAATTGTATTTTGTAAATTGTTTTATTTTTTTAAAGAATAATAGTGAAGTCATCAAAATACTGAAAATAGAAATTTGTCATAGCAAAAAACTATCATATAATTTTCGCTTCTTCAAAGTAGGCCTGGTTTGTGTAGATTACACACTGTGGCCATTCTTTCAACTAGTCTTTCATCATGAAAAATCCAACTGGGATGGTGTTTTTTTTAAAGGAATTCCCATGTCTGCTGGCCACTTGTTTTCCTGGACTATTTTGTCCAACTCATACTTTAAAATAAAAAATGTTAATCATTTTTTAGTTTTATGGAGAATTTAAATAAGCAGAATGTGTGTCTATGAAATCATTTGAAATTTTGACTGGTAGAGTAGCTTTATAAGTGTATTATTTGTGCCTGACCTTTCTGTTGTCTCCATTCTAGGCTAAATTGCGTTGTCCCTGTTGTAATACACGAGATAAGGAGACTGTCCTCACCAAGTGTTTCCACGTCTTCTGCTATGAATGCTTGAAGACTCGCTATGACACTCGCCAGAGGAAGTGCCCCAAATGCAATGCTGCATTCGGAGCAAATGACTTCCACCGCATCTACATCACCTAATTTAAAGTGGACTTCTTGATGGACTGAAAACAATAGATGAGAAAAGAAGGGATGAAAGTGGTCTTGAAGCACGGGATTACCATGCTGTGGTATTTTAAAATGCTCTAAAGGGCCACTTTTGCCCATCTGTGATAGGTGGTGCTAGTGACCGAACAGACAGTGACAGAATGGAAACAGTTGAAGTAGAGTCATGGTCTATAGCACACAAGCAGTGCTTCTTCATTGCAGAGGAATTCATTGAGGTTTTTTTCTCTTCATTTTTTTGTTTTATACTTGCATTTTTGAATCACCATGAAAAAAAAAAGACTGTATCTGCTCAAATTTCTAAATATCATAAATGTCATAATCCCACAGAATATGACAGACTTTTAAAGTTCACATGAACAGTTTTGTTTTGACAATTATGGCCTTATCCGTTTGAGTCATACAGTAACTCTATCCAGTAATGTAGTCAGTCAGTCAGTCAGTTTCTATGGTGACACTCAATGTTATTGAACCCCTTAAAGTTAGTAATGAACAGATGTGATGGGTACTGGGTGGACTGAGGAGAGTTGCATAATTAGAAACACAAGATTGTGGTGCAGTGACTTCAAAAACACAAAACAGAGAGACCAAGAAATATTCATGCAAAAGAAAATTTGTCTCAAATGATTCAGCTTTAGACAGGTTAATACCCAAACACTCGGCAGATAATATATCACCTACATGTCAATAACTGTTGCACAATTTCCTTTAAAAATAAAAACTGGATACAAGTATTTGTGAACTTGATGTCAATTTATACACATATTATA